TGGGTAACTTATCAGAAAGCAGCGCCCGCGGCCCCAAAACAAAAACATCAATCTGTCGATCGGCATCTTACTTGCTCACTGCATCCGATGACATGACAAAAAAAAGCCCGATGACTTTGACCCATTTGCCCCGGGCCCCATCAAACGGATAGCCCAAAAAAACGGAAAATTATGGTGCCCACATTGTGGCACTTGGAACGTCATACGGATGAAGGCCACTAAGCATTCCTAATTCTGAAGTACCCGATCACTGCTGCGACCCTCACTGTACCTCCAGCTACCAGGGTTGGGCCCAATTGATTCCAGAAACCAGTCCCTAGATCCATATAGAGGGAAAGCCTAGACTTACAGCATGTTTAAACAAATAATTTGCCGAACCTAGCACATAGCCTAGCAGAATCTCGAGTCTCGCTCTCTCTCTCTCTCTCTCTCGCTCTCACTCTCTGTCTCACTCGCCCAACAACACCGGAAATACAAGGTGAAAAGGTCAGCTCTGGGTAACCCGATCTGCAAGACCAAAGCATAACAACTGTATTCCACATGTATCACCTTTAAGAGGATTCCGAAAATGTATCATAGAAACTGGAAGGCAAATAGGTTGTGAACATGGTCTGTTCAATGTGTCTGTCTTTTTTAATCTGTTAGCAACCTCGCATTTGTTAGATAAACTCTGCAGGCAGGAAGTGCTCGGTATGTGGCGCGGATCTTATCACGCTCACCCAGCTGCGTAAAAAAATGTACTGAGAGTCGCAGTGGCCGCAGTCAACCGTGGACCGGACAATCTCAGTCCATGCGTCCTTTATGCCATTGAAGTGGCACTGGGCGGGTTCGGTTGCTGGCTAGTAGCTCATGCGTGGCATTTTCTGCTCGTATTTTGATGTATTTTGGGTCCTCTGATGTTCCTTTGGACTAAGGGACCGAGGTGACCCTCTGGGGTCATTTGCTGGAAAATGCCGACAGATTGGCTGGAAAATGCTGCAGGACGACGCGTCTTGGCCCTTCAGCAGGCAAAAACAATTCCTAAAACATAATAAACCAAATCCACAGAAGGCAACCACCGTCCATAGTGGGACCCCGTGCTGGCCAATCCAAGGTTCTGGAAGCGTGTCGGTGAGGCAGACACACTGCCAGCCGCAGTCACGCGGATCTCCTCGTCAGTCTTCTGGATCTCCTCCTGAGACTAGGGCATTTCTCGAATAAGCTGGAACGATTTCCTCAAGCCAAGAAAAAGGCAAGGATTGAAAATAGGGCATAACCAACAATAGTCAATGACAAGGGTGCCCTTTGCAAAGTGCTGAAACTATCAAAGTCTATCTCCTACAGCTGTTGCCGGTGTATTTACTTTGCACCGTGTATGAGGGGGGTTCATCAAAATCCTTCAGCCAAAACGGGTGTCATTGCGAAACAAAATGGGTACTGATGCATGAACAACGCGTGGATGCGTCTGACGCAGCCATGCGTGCCATCCATCGCCCCCCATAGGGACGCCTGTACTTGCGCCAGTGACCCCGCATTCATCACCTCCCAGGCATTATTAGCAAACGAACCAGCCAAACCAGGGGCGGCAATCCCTAGTGAACACACCATGTTGTCTGCCCCAGACGCGCCCGCACCCATTTGGCGTGTGGGTGTTTCCTTTGACTCCAAGCACAGGTGGGAAATGTCAACTTCAGATCTTATCCCGCGAACCGTGCCAACGAGGGTGGCAAACGCCTTGAGTGAATGCAATCAAACCGATCCTTCCTGCTTGGTGGCCATGAGAAACAGAGCCGCTGAGCAACTGAGCGAGAACTAACATGAGAAGCACATTTCTGAGTGCTATGAAACCTTCAAGTACCTCTTTGTGCTTCTCCACTTTATCCCAGTCTGTTGCGTTGTGCTACTCATATGCCTATGTGTCAAGATGCGTTTCTCCCTGGGAGGGCAGTACTCCTCTCCCCCCAAAGGGGGCCCCAAAATGGGAAGTCGGGGCCCCACACCCGTGGCTTCATCACCTTGCGGTATTTGTCCATGGCGAAGCTGCGACCTCGCCAGCCCTTTGTCTTCGTTTTGAACACCAGCCGCAGCCAAACAACTTTCTGCGTCAATCTGTTGTCCCAGTAGTGAGACACCAACCTAAAGGGACAGTCAACATCTATTGTGTTCCCAACTGACATGGACGATAGGCGAGTAACCTCCATTTTTCCTAATGGCACTTTTGTTGAGTCTGAGCCATGTCATCGCCCTTGCCACAGAAATATTGAACGTTGCTCACAGCTTCAATCAAATTAATTAAGAAAGCATAAACCCCCCCCTCCCTTACCCCCCCCCCCCTGAGACATGCTATAGCACTGCTATTGGAGTGTTATAACACTGATAAAGCATTTGGCTCCCAAAGGGTTCCCCACTGACTGGCGGCGCGACAAGCCCTGGAAAATGACACCCACCACTACCCTCATGCTCGTCCCCCTCGCACCCCTTCCTTCCCCGTCCCTTGCCCTTCCCGTCCGCTCCCCCGAAGCTTCAGAAGTCCGTAAGTCTTCCGGAAGCTTCCCTAAGGCTTCCGGAAGCTTCCGCAAGGCTTCCGGAAGCTTCCCCAAGGCTTTCGGGAAGCTTCCCACCTATTTGGCCCAAAGCAGGGGGGGGTAAAGGGGGGGGGGGTTGCGGCTTCTTAAATTAATAACCACATTTAGGGGACTCCCAAAGAATGGAGGGTACATGGACCCTTGTGGACTGCTTTGTTTACGCCGCTTTCAAGAGCAAGGATCCCTTGAAAGAAGGTGGGATGCTGCTGCCCGATTTAAGTTCCCCCGCTGCTCCCCTGGGCCAAGCAACCCATGTTGTTAAGGTCAAACCCAAGTCAAAAGGAAACTCCTTCTGCCTCCGTGGCTCCGCATAAACATGGGATCATGACCCCAAAATTAAGGGTACGCTACCATATTAAATGTTCCCTGACAAATCACCCACCTAAGTGGACAAAGAGAAAGCCAAGGCTTAAATGTCGGCTTTGTTCAGATTTCAGACAAGAAACAAAAAACGAAGAAGAACAACAAGATTCCGTCAAAACAAACACACGCACACACAAAGCCGTCTAATGTTCAGGTACCGGAGACAGGCGGTTCGCCTCCATTTCAAATTTGCTCCCATTTAAGAGAATCGATCAGAAGGCCGGAAAAGGCACAGACAATGGTTTGCAACAATTTGGCTTGGCCAGACAGATCCGACAATCTGCAAAAAGTGCGCCTTTACGGGCAAAAAGGCGAGTTTCGCAATCATGTGAGGGTTGATGGCCATGGTCCAAGGGCTCAAAGCAACCCTGGTTTTCTTGGAACGTTGCACATCCTGCTCTCGTCTCGCATCTGAAATCTATGATTCTGGGCGAATCAAGTAAGCAATCTTTCTTGATGGGCAACTGATCAGCCGGTGAGCTCGCTACAAATTTGCCCAGAAAGATGTTGGGGCCCCTTTCACCTATCTGCACTACGGCGCAAACAGCCCCCCTCCCTTTGCGGATGGGAAAGCTGGTAAACCACGAAGTGCAAGAACTCACCAATTGAATAAAGGGTATCACACAATCATGGATGGTGCCTCAGCGTTCCCCCCCCAACCCCGACCCCCCGGATCCGTGCACTCGCTACATTGAGTAGAGAAAGATTCATTGACCACGCATCACCCAAGCTCTCCAATGCGCGGACAAAACTGTGGTGCTTTGCCCATCCTGGGGGATAATTCCCCACGCAGGACCTCCCGCTTTGGCAAGCAGGGTTTGCCTTGCTTCAAATAGACCCCCAGGGTATACCATGAATTTGGGAGATAGAATCCCTTGTGGTACGCTGGATTTACTTTCTTTAAGCTATGGAAAGAAGAGCTCGGACTCCTACTTTAGGAAAGGTCTACCTTTGCTGTTGTCAAACAATCCAACAAAGAACTCCTCTAGTATGCTGGGTTCACCTTTGCTTTTGTTAAACTATCCAAAGAACAAGTTTTGTTTGGGACGCACCCATGGCTTAGGCCGCGACTTGATCACAAAAGTGTGCTGCTGGCGGGTGTCTGTGACCACCACAATCAGTGGCTCTTGATTTGCCCTCGCAAAAACGGCCGCAGAATTGATCGTCAAGCATGAATGGACAGGTTCAGAAGCTTGGGCTCTGCAAACCAAAGAAACGAGGTAGATGTAATAATTGTCACGTCAAAGCCAAAGCTGCCAGTGAGGCAAATGGTGCATCAACGTGTACCAAAGGTATGTGTGTGTGTGTGTGCGCTTGCATCCCCGCACGCAACCTTAAACTTATTGAACTGCCTTTTGGAGTCATGAGCAACATGGGCTAGAATGGCACAACAACGGTATAAAGGTTGACTCGCTTGAGGTGGTCCAATTGCTTTTCCAAGACAAGGATGCACATGGTTGCTCCACGACTGTCGTTGCTGACTCAACTCCATCGAATCGTTACGGCCAACTGGTTCCAATTCCTGTTTTGCAACCAGGACTGAGTCACACGCTCCACCCACCCACACATAAGCCCAAGGCTGATATGAAAACCCTGGCACGAGTGCAGGCACAAGGAGCGATAGTTTCTGACTTCCCGCCTTCATCTGGCCTCGGCGGATCTGACTAAGGCCAAACCGGGATTCGGCCTGATTGCAATGTAGCACACAAGACCAAGTTCGCAAGTTGCGAATTCCCTGTGCCCACAAATGCACCCCACGTCGAGTCGACTTGCAACGTGGAAAGAAGCCTTCCATTTAGCCTGAAAGGTGATGGTTAAAGGGGATTGAAATCTGGGGAGCCCTCTGCTCCGCACCTCCGGACTCAAGCCGAATTCCCTTGGTGGCTTGATAGCAATTGCCTTCCCCACAAGCTGCATTTGCTGCCGGTGAGCGGAACAAGTATCATTTTCCCGAGAAGTTAAAGCCTAAACAATCCAACCAAATAGAAAAAACTTGTCGAAATGCGGGGACCCCCAAGAGTTGGGGGTGGTTTTTCCTCCGGTTTCCCATGCAAGCTTTGCTTTGCTGGGCACCTGGCATGACATGTGCAGCGCGCCACCCGAGCAGCGCCGTGGCCGCGCCTCGGAGCGAGTACCCCCTGTTGCTTGGTTTCCAAGGAACACCAAAAGGCAAACCATATTTTTTGGGGGTCTCTTAAGAAATGAGACACCCAAAGGTCTCTTGTGTGTGGGGGTTTGGTGTCAATCTGCAGGGCAGTGGGCTTGTCTCAGACTAGGGGCCGACAGAACGCCTTTAGTTTTCACTTTGACCTGCCGCGAAAAAGGGTTCCCTCATATAAAGTGCCCCATCTTAAATTCTTCCTCCAAAGCCTTTTTGGGGGTTGACCATCTTTAGGGCCAAACAGACAGGGGCAAAAGGTACTGATGAATTCTTGGCCAAAATCTGTGGTACCAGGGCAGTCGGGCAATCCTACGCTGGGTGTTGCAGAGTATTGCACCCTTGTGGACGATGGATACTCTCTGTGCGCTCCAAGGGGTGTTCGCAGAAAGATCCACCACCTCTACCAGTTGCCTAGTGTGCAGTGTAGAAAGAGACTGGGAACCCCCTTTTTGGGGCCAGGATCGGTAGTGCGGGACCCGCACTTGAAGGAGTCAAGTTGCGTGGCCATTGGCCCCAGGGCCAAAAGTCAAAACATGGGCTGGAGCAAATAAACCAGGCAGGTTAAGGTTGTTGGTGACACTTGATGAATACCCCGCCCCTGATTAAAGACTTTGCCCCGTCCTTCTTCCCACCCGGCTGCCAGCCTTTTCGATCTTGAGGGGGGGAGGGCACTAATCAGGGGTAACCAATATAAGGATTCAACCAACAGCATTCAAGAGAGCAACCGTTGTGGCCACAGGCCGCATCAGCTCGGCGGCTCGGCGGCTGAGGGTCCGGGCGACCCTTGGTGCAAATGAACACCTCGAAAGCGCCGTGCCGATCAGCCAGCGAAGTCCAAGAGGGGGAACTTGCCCAGCCGTCCCTAACTTGGCGTACACAGAAAGTAATATGTTCCGAGTCTGCTTCATACTTGATCTACCCAACCATGTACAAGATAAATTTGGAGAAAAAAACACAGCTAAGGATCCAAAAACCTTCCAAGGAGCTACTTCACCCCCTTTTACCTGCTTTGGCTGCAACCAGATTTTGCATTTTAAGACCATGAGGGAGATGGAGCCCCCCCCAATGAACTGCTGCTCAAAATAGAGGGGTGAAAAAGCCTATATAATCCACAATCCGAAATGGAAACGAGAACCAATTTGCGATCGTGATCTCTCTGGATTTTGTGTGGTAAAATTGGGCCCGGTCGCCGCTCCAAACAAGTATATACAACTCAACTAGCAATAATTCTGTCACTGGCTCATGTATACCCAGCTTCGGAACCACTGACCCCGGAGCTTTCCAACAAACAGTCAGATCAATTGCTTAATGGAATCCTCACACATGATCCTCAAGTCCTCAAACCCCTTGGATAAAGTTTGAAGGTTCTGAGCATCCAAAAGCCCAAGCTGCTACGCTGGCCAGTGCAGGTGGTTTGATCATAGCCGGGTATCCAGCAACCAAGAGTCTCCTTTTGGAGGGACAGCTCCCCAATGATTTGAGTTGCTTGCATGAAACAAACAGTCTTCTGTGACAAATTCCTCCGTCTTTAGCCGTCCTATCCAGGCTTCAAAATGTGCCCATAGAAAAGAAGGAAAGCTAGGACTGCCCCATCATGTTCCATCAAAGCCACTCCCTTGGTGGGATCAAAGGGAAACAACCAACCAGTTTGTGACTTTCCACCAGAAACAGTGAACACAAAAGCCAAATGGGGTTACTGGGTTTATAAGCAAGTTCCTAACCAAACCTTGCGGCCAAGTGGGTGTAGAACACATCAGGCTGCCGGGCTGGGTATGGCGAACTCCTGTGGGCCTGCCGCTCCGGCGCCTGCCACTGGGAAGTTTTGGGGGCAAATGGGTGTGGAGGTTCCGGGGTAGTTTCCCAACGCATGGGTGTCTTTGTTGAGGCGCGTTACCTTTTTCAGGGGCTTGCTGAGAGAACAAAGAGAAAACAACACAATTTGTGGGGAGAAACATCGATACATGGGGGGGGTGGGAATTCTAATTGAAGATCCTTTGGTGGACATCATCTTGGTGGGGATTCATGTCCATATATGCCGACCACTTTGGAGCCGGTTCCCTCCTAAAAACTCATAGCCAAATGAGCACCCGAAACCCGAGTGTGTGCGTATTGTGGCAAGAATCGACCCCGCCCCAAAAGTGTACAACTGTTGCGGGCGAGTGAGAAAATTACATTTCCCAAAAGGATTCAAGGTTAAAGATCCAACCCAAGCATTCAAGTATAGGGAGGCCTTGCTACAAACCGCTATGAAACCAGGTAGTGGAACCACCAAAAACGGCCAACAGGGCTTTGGGGCTCTCAAATGAGGACCGTTAAAACCCGCCAACAAAAATTCAAAAAGCATAAGGGATGGTAGATCTATGGGACACCGGCGGAACGTGGCTTCCGCTTCTCTGGGATCCAAAAAGGCGGAGGCGTGGACGGTCTCCACCCACGGCCCCGACACTTCCGAGCCGGGCCTGCGCGAAGCAGTTCTCAGCGAGACGTGGAGACTCCGCGGGCCCAAAAAAGGGGTCCCGAGTTACTTCCATGTTTAGGCGCTTCAAATATTGCCACATGAGTTTCCCCTTGAGGTTGTGTTTTTCGAGTCAAATATGGGGAACCCTGGGAAATCTATCTGGAAAGTGCAAGCCGCAAGACCTGACAGATGCTACTTTTGTCACTAAAATCATAGTCATGTTGGCCCACATCTGGGGTTCTCCAAAAACCAGTATGTATGATTATGTTTCCTAGCCCGATTCAAATTAATCTGGCAAATCGTGAATCGAGCCCTTTTGCTGGAGCATTGAAAATCCATCCAACCCAGTATCCGTAGTCCGCAAACCGCACATGTTCATCTGTAAACCACAGATTGCGCAATCTGAGGGATTGGGTTTTGAGCAGGCCAGGTTTCACAGTGTCATATTAAGCCCTATGTTTAAACATATGTTTGACGGATTTCCCAGCAATGTTGCGTTGATAAATCCGAGGGATTCCAAAAGGGTATCACAGAAAGTGGCAACCATAAGCCAAATTTCAACCAGCTACGCGTGTGATTTGTTTTGGTAAGGCATACTAAGCCCCTCACCCGAACATTTGGTGGGGGTGAAAGAGGTGTGCGACCCAATACTGCCATCCACCGGGGGGGAGAAGCCTCCGATTGAGAGTTGGTGGCCTACTGACCAGTGGACAAGCGGACAAGCTCATGACTCATTCTTGGTGTTGGTGGTTTCTCAACATAGGGGTCCTTTAAAAAGGATAGTTTCCTTTTGGTTCCCTCTAAATACCAACTAACACAATTTTGAGAAACTCCCGTGTTTGTTTGAAAGGGACACTTCCCAATTCAAAAGGAACCACTGGGCAAAGCCCTAAGGGCATGGATTGGCTCCCAAATGGTGTCTGCCAAGGATATCTTTGATACATTGGCTCCCTTCAGACAAAGGTTTCAGAATACGTCCTTTGGGGAAGCCCTCTGTCCACTTTGATTGTTGAAGGGAGGACCATGTTCTTCTCCGTGGCGCCTCAAAGAACTTCCCGTGCAAGTCCACTTCCTGCAAAACGGCATGCGAATTAAATACTTTTCGGCACCCGGTAGAAGAATTGGATTTCTTTCTGGGGTTGACCATTCTTTGAGAGCCACCAAATTTCAAACAAGCAGGGACCAAGGTGGGATCCCACTCAGAAACTTGAGCCTGTACATGCGGAATGATGTCTACGAACCAGTTTTGATCTTTTGAGGGATCCCCCCTATCTATGCCTAATCCTAATCCATAAACCACAGTGGATCTCTACTACAACAAGGAAATATATCGAGGAGTTTTGTCCGCTGAAATGTGGGGCCACAGTTCAGCCAGTCAGGTAGTCAGTCAGGGCAGTTCAGGGAAAGGCAAGGCACAGCAGGGTGGGTCGCAGCGCAGCACACGCGCGCGCAAGGTCAACGGCTTTGCTCACACCTCCGCGGATGCAGTGGCTCGTGTCACATGGCACAAAATTCCTTTACCCGTAGCAACAAATGCCAGACTCAGAAGCTTCACAATGAAAGGCGGGGTTCTGTTGCACGCAAACAGCGCAAACTGTTTACTTGCGATGGCTGGCCTCGCACTTCTCATTCCAATCATTCTTGCACCATCCGGCCAATAATTTGCGAAGTCAAAACCCCTCCACCCCCGATTGTTGCCAGACGTTCGGGTTCCAGGACACATTTAACTTAAGGCCTTGAGCCCCTCACAACGGAAAGTATGTCAGCTACAAACAAGAAGAAACTGAATGTTCTTCGATATTCTTCGCACTCATTGAAAACAACAGGAACCTGACAGAAACACACCAAAGTGCCAACCAAAAACAATCAAGAACTATGAAGGGCTGTGAAGAAAGGCGGGCTGGTTACTTCTGACTGCCGACCCGCGAGAAAAGGATCGACCGGGTTCTGATCGAAGGGTTCTCAAAACATGCGGGGGAAGGGCCGATTCTATAACTTCTTGAAATAACACAGAATCATAAGCTGACCCTGTACTAATTTGGAACCCGTATCAACATAGAACATCAACCAAATTGGCGGCGGGCACTCTGCCAAGGCCAGCCGCCCCAAGGGCAACTACGCGGCCGGCGGTTCAGCGCCAATCTGTGTTGCGCAATAAACAACTGAACAAAGAAAAGAAGCACTCCCTAAACAACCTAGCAACATGAACCCACAAGGAACCGGACCATACTCTCCTCCCGTCCTCCCAAAAGCGCCGGAGCCGCTTCTCCGGGCCGCGGAGCTTCGCCTCGAGGCCCGGCCCGCGCAACACGCACTCGCCCACGGCCGCGACCGCAGCCCCTGCGAAGGCCTGGCGCGGGCGCGCAAGCGGCGGAAGCCTCGCGCCGGCGCCTTCCAGCCTTTGTTCTTCTGCCGGCTCCTTCCTTTTCCCTGCCCAAACTGGAAACAAATTATTCCTAGCTTGGCAAAGGGAAAGCCACCGCACCCCGTGGCTTGCTCGACTTTAAGAAACTCGGAGCAGCCCCGATGTACTTCCAGTGCGATAGGCTGTCTCGGCTTTACCCTTTGTACCCAAAAAACGGAAACTGTATAAGGAAGGACCCGCTCATCCCTTTGAGCCCGAGTGCGCCGGGATGCTCTCAACAAGCGGAGCGTGCGGTTTCTTGGAGGGATTCTTTTGGGTTGTCTCAAGGGCCCTATTTCTGTATCCCCTTTCCGACTCGTGGGTCTTTTGGGCAAACAGTGGCAAATAAAAATCGAATCAAATTAGACCCAGGGAAATGCACCGGTTTAGCGGGCCGCATATCGAGGCTTCTCAGGATGGTGGACCCCTTGTTTGGGCTTTGAAGGGATACTAAAAGGACACTTAGCATTGTAGGCGACCCGCCAGCTTGGGGTTCTGCTGTTTTGAGAAACACCCCTATGATCGCTTCTTGCCTGCATTTGCTGCTTGAAGATTGCCTCCAGAGTCACCTGGCGCTGCACCTCAGAATTGCCAAGTACCCCCTGAAGTCAAGCAATGCACAGACCTCCAAAACGGAAAAGCTTCCAGGTTTCAAGGGGCTCCAATGTTGAGTCAAACTTGGAACACATCCAACCCCGAGCTAATGTGTTCTGTTAGCAGTTTAGCAAGGGGAAAGAAGCTAGATGCAACCATTGGACCAAACGTTGACCCAGTTTTCCCCAGTGGCTATGGGTTTGGCGTAGGCCAAGAAGGGCACAAGAAATTCACCCTCGTGAGCGGAACAATGTCATTCCTCACAGGATCCATCAATTAGTATGGTCCTACGGATCCTCTTTCCAACAATTATGGAAGTGGACAGGGGATCGCCAAAAGGACCCTGATCATCAGCTTCCATGATTGGAGGGAGAGCATCCCCAATTGATATGGTCACGAGTTAAATAGGGAATCACCTCAAAAGTGGTCATTCCAAAAATCCCCGAGATGATGTCCACCAAAGGGTCATAAGAAATACACAGCATGCCCACAATACCCCCGGGGGAGTCAATCTCCTCCAGACTCCCTGACATCCTGAGCCTCCGCGCAGCCAAGCGCCGCAACTTCGCCCGGAAGCGGCCCCTTCGCCGTGTTCTCTTTCCCGGAAGCCGAGGTAAGCATGTGCCGCGATGGGCCCAGGAGAAAACAAGTTGGGTGTTTTCTTCTTGAGGGTTTCTTGGTACCTTTGGAGGCAACCAATGGCCCCCTACTCCTAGAATGCTTGAACGACTCTCTGGCTCAAGCGCCTTCAAGTCAAGGATCAAAAACAACAAGGGTTTCCCTTGCGGGCTTCTAGACAAACGGAGTCCAACTTCATGTTCAAAGCACGACAAAGCCAGGCTATTCCCACATTCCGCAAAGGGCAAGGCAGAACCCGTGTTTATTACCATGTTGGATTCCCCTAAGTGTCCCTTCTATGTTTCAACCCGTGCAACCCCAACAAACCATCCTCAAAGGTACCGACAGACCGTCTGGCTTCCCCAGCCTAAACCTCTGACAAAAAGTGAAGCATTTGCCGGGATATGTCACCAATCCCTCTAAGGTAAAAGTCGAAGGGTGTGGCCGGTTAAGCTCAAGGGAAAATGGTTGCATAACGTCGAGGATGAACCCTCAGAATGCCCAGGAAACGCCCTAAAAACCCTTAACACAAAATCCCCGAGGTGTCCCTCACTTGCAACCCAAGCACATACACATTGCATGAGCTCGGTGACTTCAATTTTTTGACTTTTTTAGTTGCCTTGACTGAAACTGGGTGACACGACTAAAGCACCAAAAGGTCACTTGAGATCGATTTGCTTTCGCCCTTGGACAGGAACCTTCAAACGCAAAGGATTTCCTAGTTTCAGTGGACAGCCTTTGTCCACCCAACGAAAGGCGGCGCCGCAGCATGGGCCTCGGCCAGGCCCACGCCCGCCCGCCCGCCTTCGTCTGAGGCCGCCGTAGCGGGTGCTGGGCACCACCCGCTGCAGCAGCTCCTGCGCCACCTGGCAGCTGTTCGCCGCCCAGGTGACTCAAACAACCTGACAGCAAGAGTCCAACAGTCCAACCCAACAGCAAGCCCAGCAAAAGCAACAGCCCAAAAGCAACAGCCCAACAATCCCAGCAACTCAACAGTCCAACAACCCACCCAGCCAAAACCCATCCCCAGACAAACACTCGATGAATCCTTTCCATGTTCCAATTGACCCTCCCGAAATGACGACTTGACGCCGCTTTCAAGGAGATACTCCAGAATGGCCTAGATACACTCGTGTTGCAACACCTCAAAACCGATCTGACATTAAGCCGAACAGAGTTCTAACTGTCAAGTCTCACCGACCCCTCTGCCAAAGCCATGCTTTGCTGTGGGCCGGGGGCTCTCACCTCAACAGCCCCAACATCTCACCTCAACAGCCCCAACATCTAACTGATTCAATTCTAACTCTAATCTCTAACTCCTCCAGACTCCAACTTCTGCGACTCCTTGCTTTTTGTTTTTGTTGTTAAACGGTGCAAGCGGCATGCGCTGACTGATCCTGCCAGTAGTCATACGCTTGTCTCAACGAGGTCTGAGTTTAAGTTTCCTCTGCTTCTTCTAACTCCTAACTCCTAAGTCTAAGCTCTACATCTAGCCTCCAACTCCGCTAACCTCCAATTTATCTAACCTCCAACTCTAACTTTTCTACCTGGCAGCCTGGTGTTTGCTCATTTGCGGGGGGGTTGGACGGAATGATTGCCCTTGCTCATTTGCTCATCCCAAGCAAACCGTGAACCCCCAGCCAGTTCTGTTGACGGGGTTCAACGTTACTAGTACTTAGTTCCTTGAGCATCCCAGACCCCCAGTCGACATGGAAAGGAAAGCACTTGCTTTTTTGGTAGTTGAATTGAAAAAGGAAACAGGGAACCCCTCTAAAAACAAAGAGGCCTGGGTGTCTGGACATAACATGTATCGTCAAAAGGCTAACCCTGTGTCCACCCCACCCAGTGACCCTTTGTCTGAGGGGAACCTTTTTTGAAGTTCCAAGTTCATTGGTTTCGGCGCCAAACAAAAAGGGAGTGCACAAGGGCTCCTTTGGGCAAGGGTTTTTTGGCTATTGAAAGGTCTCGAAGCACCTCAGAAGGTACCAAGGGAGTCCTTTGGGCCCGATTTCAGGGGTTACGGGAATATCTTCATGCCAACCCACTGCCCTGAGCTGCGCCGTCGAACAGCCGCGCGTCTGTAAAGCCGAAACCGCCTTCTCGTCGATGACCATCCGCGGCTTGGCCACAGCCACCTCCGCCTGGCGAGAGCTTAGTGCCTTCAGTGTGCCCAGGGCCCCAGCCCCGCCCAAAGTGTCCGTTGGTTCAGAGGACGGGCTTGCTTCTCTTTTCCGATTTCTTTTTGGCGGAGGGGTTAAAAGGGGTGGAAGTACGTTAAGCGGCTTCTTAGAAGGCATTTGGATTCCTAGGACCGTTTGACCAAGCGAAAAGCAATTACGGGGGATCGGAAAAAAACACACCGCCGGAAAACAAACACCATATTTGGACCATATGGGCAACGTCGAGACTGTATGCGGTTGGCCTCAGCCTCAGGACGACAATCGGGTCCTCCCAGTCCGCAGTTGACCAACCCAACCCAGGCGACAAATCTACCAACCAGCACAAACAAACAAGCAAACGTGCAAACAAACAAACAAACAAACAAACAAACAAACAAACAAACAAACGAACAAACAAACAAACAAATAAAACAAACAAACAAACAAACAAACAAACAAACAAACAAACAAAACAAAACAAACAAACAACACAAAACAAAGCACGGCTAAACAACACGAACCAACACAGAAACATTACAATAACATGCCACGAAACAGAATAAGACAGAACAACACCAAACCGAAACCAAGCAATGCCAACAAAAAACACAAGCCCGGACAGAAGCTTACTTCTCCGGGGTATCCCTACCTACCCCAACCAAAGTGACGTTTGATCATAGGTTCTGCAGGCAGCTCCGAAGACCCTTTCACCCGCGGTCCTGGCCTGGAACCATGAACACACAAGTGTTTTTCTACAGATGTTCCATTCAAAGGTGTTGTCATTGGTAGGTTCCAAGCAACCCGACATTCCCCAGTCCCCCCTACAACGCACGAGTGCCCCCCTGTCAACCCTTGGGGAGTTGAGTCATCTTGTACCAGCTCGCAGCGACTCTGCTAAAGGAAGCCGCCACTTTTCTTTTTGAGGTTTGGAGTAAGCTTGTTCTGCCTGGAAGGGCATGAACTCCAGACTGACAAGGCCTCCAGACTGCGGCGGGCAGCCGCCAGAAGGCCTGATCGAGTCAAGGCGTCTGCCCTGCCAGCTCCACTTGGCCCGTTTCACAAGGAAACCGAGCAAACATGGCCTTCTTCAAAGTAAAACGACAAAACATGGCCCCTTTACAAGTAAACCAACTGACCATGACCCCTTGCAGGCCAACGGAAATGAACTCCTGGAGTCTCCAAGGCCCTTTAAGCTTGAAACATGACATCAATACTCTGAACTCTTCGGTAAATTAGCAACCATCTTCAACGGGCTATGACTCCAGGTAGGTGGCCACCGGTGACATGGCAATTCTGACTTTCACTCATGTATAACAGGGTTCAGCCCACGTAGGATGTTCACTTGCGAAGCGCTATCTATACAACTGCAGGCCGAACCTCAAGAACATGGCTTCCCGGAGCTAAACTGTAATGCGGCCCAAGGTTCACCAACAAAACAACTGTGAGCACGAACTACCTACTGCAGAACCATTATCTGCTGGTTGTCACTTCTCTCGCTCCGAAGCCAGGGCTCCCACTGTCTCCTTTGAACATCACTACTTGGCCCAACATTTCATGTTTGAAGCCAGCCTTTCAGAGGAAACATGGGAACACCTACTTCACAAGGCTTCTTGACCCCCGAGGGCTCTCCGGGGCAGCTGGGCCCTTGGCTGCCTGTTCTGGTGGTTCTCACGCACGCTCCCCCTCCTCCAAAGCTGCGCTTCGGGACGTGCAGCGATGCGAGTGGCGCGTGAACCGCACCGACCTGAGTGATGCCCGGAGTCTCCAAGACCCTGAAAAAATGATACATGACCTCAAATTATTGGAATCTAAGGGGCTGAATAAACACAAATATTGCTCTCTCTGAATAACAAACTATACTGGGCTTGTGTGGTACGTCAAACCAGATTAAGTCATGAGGCCCTCAAAGGGGCAAGACTCTCTGGCCGACGGACGTGAACCCCAAAACCATTCGAACATTGTGGTGCACGAACTTTGTCTTTACCGCTGCATTATCGTTCCAGAAACTGGGGAAGTGAGCCCAAAATACCTTCGTGGTTCCATGTTGATTGTTGATTTGCAGGGAGCACTCCAAAATTATGTGTACATTATCCATGTTTATATGTGGTCATGGAGGCACCAGGTGGTTGAGGGCCCGAAACACACCCCAACTGGGCATACCAACCATCTCCGTGAACCATATTAACAATCTCAAGAAGAAAAAAACACTAAGAAACTTAATGACTTTGCTTTCCCTTTGCTTTCCCTTTAGAACACCAAGACTGGGTACAACAAGCAACAATGTTTAACTTCAATAATAATAATAATAATAATAATAATAATAATAATAATAAACCATCGTAATAAGCGATGCCTCCATGCCATTCGCCGATCTCTAACCACTGACGAAGGGATATGTATCCATGCGGGGCAAGTAGGATCTTAGATGATCTTAGAGATGCTCAAGCGGCACAAATTGCCATAGGGCCGCTCCAATGTTTGAGACACATGTGCGCGCCGGACAGAACATGGTTGAGAAAAATGCTTGCCTCTTTCTGCAAAAGCACAGTGCTTAGTGGCAGCTAGCCAAGCTGCAGATTTCCCAAGGCTATACATAAACCCGCTGGATGAATTCCCCCCAGGCCCATTAAAAGAGGGCGCTCCTGTAAACAAGGGCAGTGGGAATGTCAATACCAACCAGACACACGGTGCGCTCCAAGGTAGAGTCTGAATTGAGTTTGGCCTTGTCATGAGAAAAGTGGCAGGCAGGACCAGCTGTTGAATGGATAAGGCGCCATGTCAATGGTGGTTTGAGCCCACCCTGCTCCGTGCTTGCTCTTCATACTCTGATGAACTCTTGCTCGAGTTCCTTTTATCCAAGCCAGATTTTCTGTTTGCTCCAAACCTCAGATTACTATGAACTGTCTGGCATGAGGAAGCTCTTCATTCTGGGGGAGTTGCACCCAGGTTGAACATGAGATACTGTCCAACAAGTTGGCCCCCCATGGCCACTGGGCGACAATGTCGCCTTCTATGCGATCATATGTGGTGGGTGTGTTTGCAACCAAGACCTTGGAAGTGCACAACGCCTGGCCGGGCTGTTCAAAGGAAGTCCTACATTATAGGTTCATCCTTGGGGCTCTATCTCTCTCCCTACACACTCCTGAGACTCCGGCAGACTATTCAGATTGAACATACATGTGCACCTGTGTGATGATGAGCGCCTAACGAACCTAACGCACTGACTCATCCAACTGGGTTGCCGGCGCGATCCATGCTCTCATCTGGCTTTGCCTGGCTTGCCGGCGCTCAGTGCTCAACCCGAGGTGGTAATAATCCAATGTTTAGACCCGACCCTAGGATGCCAAGAGTTTCCACCCCCCCAAAGAAAAAAGGAAAGCAAAAAGAAGCAATTAGGTCCACGCCGCACAGCTGAGAGCAACACCAAACCCCCCACTGCGCCAAAACAACCCCCAACTGCCCATTTCAGGTGCTTTACTTCTGATCGAACCTGTGACTATGCCAAGGTTCCAGAGCTGGGTACAGCTTGCCAAATGAGCGCTGCGCGAAAGCACAGCTGTTTCAAACCCACTGTACAAATTCACAGCTGCCAGGCCACCAAAAGCTTACTGGGGACCGCCAAAACACTCTACTGTAGTGCTCGAGGCACGCACAGGGAAAGGCGCTTGATTTCCCGCATCCAGTGGGAGTGATGACAGGCACTTTGTGGGGCTCGCGCAGTGAGTCTACCCTGGCAACCCATCCCTCGGGCCTTCTGAAGGTTCTGAAGGGTTCAACTGATGGTGCCGTCAGCAGATACGACCACAGTCACATTGCGACCCAAGGACCCAAGCCGCAGGCCACCAGCGTCGACATTCAGCGAGGGACGGAGCCCAACCAGCCGGACGTTGGAGACCCCCCTATCCTCAAGTTCTACGCGGTGGAAACAGAACGGTGCAAGTGCGTCCTTTAAGGGGATCCATTTGTTGATTCCCTAGGATGTCCCAAAACCAAATTTCAAATCCCCAAATCCAGTGGTTGATTCCCTCACAAATTATAGTAATATGAGTAGTATGATTAATATATATATATATACATACATAGTTTATATATTTTCCCAGGCCCTTGGAATTCCCCAAACCTGTAGATTCCCCGAGTCGTCAGTTCAGGTCCGCCTCGAGGCGGGCGGCTTTCCTGAAGGCGGCGAGGCAGCTTCGTGCCCAGGCGGCCTGACCTAGCACCGGCCGTTTTCGTCTTGTGGCTGAAGCCACACAAAAGGGGTACGCATTCTCCCACAAGGGGTACACAGAAAACATGCCCTTACTTGGCCAGACTGAGTAAACAAGCTCACTGATCTAGACATCTAGACATTTCGCATGATCGTCATGAGAATCTTGAAATTGGGTTCATTTATGTTTTGTGTATGAGAGAAAAGCGGCTCAGTACTCAAAGCAACATACATTGCCAACGACTTGCAGAGTGTCCCTCGCCCTCGCTACCCTTTGAGGATGATGGGTTTTGATCTTGGGGGGTTCCTTTAGAAGGACCGGTCAGTCAAACAGAAGGCATATGTGAACGAAATACCCTACGCTTGTCGAAACTAGTGCAAAACGCGTCCGCGATATCATATCTCTGATTGACAACCACGTCCACGAGTGGATTCCACCTGTTCTTTTTCCCCTTGGCACTCTTTCAGTACTCTTCGGAAAAGGGCTCATCCAAGTGTACCCATGGATGTTTGAGATGGAAAGAACAAATGCTGCCATAGAATTGAGTCGGTCAGTCACAATCGATTAGTGGTTATGGTGTTGCCAACAAATCCCTTCAACCGTTAGGAACCCTGGGTAATCACTTGATGGCTATTGCCGCCGGCCCAAGAGAATTCAAGGTGAGCTTGCCTGACTCACCCAAACGGTTTGGATACCTTTCATCAAGGGTGCTGGCAATGTCGAAGGATTGACAATCACTTTCTAACACACTGCGAGCGGCATATGGGTGTCTTTCTGATCGGTACACCTTTTTGAGGTTGTAAGGAAACCCACTGTCTGGGGGACCCTAAATGACACAACCCAAAACCAGATTCGATCTGAACAATGGAGCCTCTAAACGCAAGGAACCCAAACAATGGCGAAGAAAAGCAAGGCACATCGCTTGCTTCAGGCTTCTGATCCAAGGCTTTGTTTCGAGCCGTGGGGTAGAAATATGGGCCCAATGTTGTCTCTCGCCAGAGCCCTGATTCATAGCAAGGAGCAACCGAGGTGAAACAAAACAGACCTGCTTCACTTGTCCTGCGTTTGGGTCTCCTCTTACACACGGTCACTGGCAGGTCATGGCTGGCAAAAAGCCTATGGAGCTTGAATAGACCCAATTGTTCCGCCAGTTGAAGTCATTCAACGGCTGGGCAGTTTACACAAATGTGGACATCCACACGGGCATCCGACCTGTGGTTCTTCAAATGGGGCAGTTCACATTTCCGTCTATGAATGACTCGCAAGGAACCAATTTCTCGTTAACGGGGTCCCTTTGCTTCCCCACACACTCAACGAGGGCCTAAAGGCAAACCCTGGTTCATGACTGGACGTGGAGATAGCTGTAATTCTAAGCAGAGGCCGGTACCCTCAAGGAAGCCTCGTTGAATGTGTAGCTTTTTGCCACTTTGGGCCACTTTGGGCCCAGAAGCACCCAAAGACCAATAGATCGATCTACTTGCGACGAAAGAGCTTCAGCTTCCCCCAAGGGCAAGCCAATTGACTGAGCCCAGATGCACGTTTCACTTCTTCTTGCCGCTAGTGTAAGGCTCCCTCTGAAAGTTGACAAGTTAGGGCGATCCATTGCGGCCACGCCGCCATGAAAGTCTCTCACGAAGACCTCCTCTTTGCCAGCAAAGGGACGGTTGACCCTGCGCGAAGCGCTTCTGTTCGGAGCGAAAAACCACGGATTCCAGGAACATATCCAAAATATAGGTCGAATGCCCACCAAATTCCGAGTTTCCTGGAGAGTTGCCTATAGGACAAAGGGTTTCATTTTGTGATGCCCGTGTTGTTGACTTCAACCCAGGGGTGGTTGATTTCCCCGAAAGGGAAACTGCTGGGAAAGGGAATCCCTGGGTTTAAGCCTACCTTTGGGTAGTCAAACAACGTAACCCTGAGCAACAGGTTTGCTTGACGGTCTAGAGGTTTTCCTACAAACGCCGAATCATCGCAAGAAGCTGACAGGTCCAGAAATCGGTTCGTTTACCAGGACAAAGCGAGGTGTCTTTGCTAGGAAGTCTGTCGGCGACGAGCTCAGAACTGTTCATTTCCCACTCAAATGAGCCTCCAGTACTTGAACCCTTGGGGAAAGCGGTTGAGGTTCCACACCTTTTTCGGGAGAGAAAATTCACAAAGAACGACGACATAGACAGGCAGTGCTGTAGTGCAGGTAGTAAGTAAGAATAAAGGGTGGTTGGTGATTGATTTTATAGTTAAGGATATCTGAAGCTAGGACCCTCCCTCTTTAGTAAAGATTTAGACCGGCAATCGACCTTCTACGGGGTGCCTAACTTTCATTCTGTCAAGGGATGATGTTGTGAATCTCATTGCAGGTGAGCCGTAGCCGCGAAATCACAACCCCTTGTTGCTCACCAGTCACTTGTTTCGGAAGAAACTGTGATAAAGAACCTTCCCCTCACTCCAAGAGTATTTGCAAGCTGGAATCCAGAGTTCGAATCCATGTGTGCGTTTGTTATAATTTGCAGAAGGGTCATCCCCCCTCCCAAAAACAAAAATAGGGTCTTTGTTGGCTTATTCGGCCCAATAAGGCTTTTATTTGCTACATATTTAATTTAGAATTTGGCTGGTCTTTTTTTGGCGGGATCTCTTTTGGTTGACTGTAAACGAAGTCAAGGGGACACTACCATTGTTTTGGGCCCAAACCCATATTTTGTGTTGCGCCTGTCTGTGGTGGCCCCGTTTCTTTCCCAGGTTTGGTGGGCCGTGTTTTTTGTTCCTTTTTTGAGGGGGGTGGGGGGAACAAGGTCCCACTACACCAAAACGAAGCGGCCAGAGAAGGGAATCCAAAGGCCCCCTTCGGGGACCCTTTCCCCCCATGACACGAACCCTTTTATGGATCTGTCTCAAAGTAGGGGACCCCGGAAAATGGAGGGAGTTTCCTTTTGGTTCCCCTTTAACACAAACGCCAAGGTACCCTCAAAAAGCACCCGGCCCCATGGCAAAAACCCAGCGGATCGCCTGGAGAGCACCTGAACCATCTTCACCGGGCTGTCCAAACACCTCGGAAGCGGCTCAATGCATCCAGGTCCCTCGCGGCAAAATGCAAGCGCCAAGGCCAGTTGGATTTCAGTCTTCCAAAGGGGTGGGACCTTCCATATTCAAGGGTGCTCCATAGGGGTTTGGGAGAATTCAACTGATTTCTGCAATCCAGGGTCATCAAACGTTGGGCTTCCCAACCGGTCCAAGTACATCACGCTGAGGCGGGGCTCATCAAAGCCAGTCTCCAGCTTGTTGCAGACCACCAGCACCCTTCCAACGAGTCCAAGCGACGAACGCCAGCGAGCAGCGAAAACATGTGAAAAACAATTAGCCCTCTGCACCTGCTGAATGGGCAGGGCAAACTTAGGATCTACAACATTGGTAGGCCCTGTAAAATTTCCTCGTGTTGCTTAAACAGCATGTTTGCAATATGTTGGACCCTACCAATCGCTTGAAACACCTAGAACCGGCTGAACAACTGAGCCCAGCGAGCAGCTGGGGTAGGGGGCGGCGACTGACTTGAAGTGGCAAGGCACTTAGGAAGTCGATAGTAACCACTTCGGGCACTTACAACCAAGGCAAGTAAATCGAAGTCCAAAAGTAGGAAAATTACTTAACCCGGACTAAGTCCCTGCCCCTTTAGTACTACATGGATTCATCAAGCTTTGGGGCTCCTTCACATCACAGGCCTTAGCATTTACTCCCCAAGAAAACCAAAGCCCCGCCCAACCGGCGAATGTAACAGCGTCTGCCAGTTTGGCTTTTCAGATAGGTGGCGCCTGCCAGTTTCGGCTTGTCAAATTTGCTTCTGCGGTGCCAAGGTGCGATCATCGCATTACATTCAAGGTCCTTGGTGGATTGCTTTCAGGCTGGTAATAACAGCTCACAACTTTCAGGGTTCCCTATGTGTTCCCCCCCGCCAAAAAAACAAAAACACACACACAAAAAGGAAGCGCACTTTAACTTGGCCCCAGCTTACGTCTAACCTCAAAACATCACCCCAAAAGGAAGCTCGCCTTAAATTGGCAACCGGAAAGGTGATTCTCAAAACCATCAAAGTAAGGCTTACTAAGAATCCTTGGGTTTTCACCGGCAAACCAAGCGGTCGCCGAAGACCCGCTCCAGGCCTGGAGCGCGCCAAAGCCTCGTGGAAGGGCAGGCCGTTGAGCCGCTCTTCCGAGAGGCCCTGGACTTCTCCGCCTTTGTGGCCAAGGGCCTTGAAGTCCGGAAACCAAATAAAAAACCAAACACAAATCCCAGAGGGTCCCATGGGAGTCCCAACAGGCGCTCTCTGAGTTGATGGCCGGGGATTTCCGTGCCCCAAAAACCCAGGTGAGTGCAACGTGTTTAGGGAATCGACAAATGCACTGATCGAGGGTGGGTACCTTGATGACTGCGGCAGTGTTCCTTGCAAAAAAGTGCAACCCTTTTCGTGAATCCTTAGGTGTTCCAGAAACAAGGGGCATGAACCCCCAAACCCGGAGGGTCTCCTGTACCTTGGGTCTTAGGTCTCTAACCCAACAAATGTGCTCGACCATGAGCAAACCCTGAAGGGTGGGGCCGGTGTTCCTTTGAGTTCCCTTTCAAGCCACTGGGTAGGGTTGAGCCCCCAAGGCCTCTCTTTAAATAAAATTGGATAAAACTAGGATATGGAACCCCCCCTTCATGAGGCACGGTGTCCTTTCCCGGGTCCAGGTAACCAGAGTGGCGGCCAAATATGGTTACAGCACCTGTGCATAACCCTGCCATGTCTTGCTACTCCAAACTTTTCTGGACTTTGTTTACGGTATCATGCTTTCTGCAAAGGGTGTACTTTGGCAAATATAAGCTTTTGCCTCAGGATCTCAAGAGAGTTTCACCTATTGCTCTGTGCGTCTTGTGGATGTACCATAGTTGTGAAAAAACAAGTGGGCATTTGGAGGGGGAAAACCCCTTCTGCAGCGAGGGGCTGAAGAAACCGCACACGCCTCGGTTCCAGGACGGCGACCTGCGGGTGTTTCGCTTGTTTGCTTGCTCCAATTTCTGAATGGGAAAGTCCCCAAAAACACAATGAACCCGGTTAGTAAGCATAAGAATAACCTAGCAAAGCTCTAATAGGTTGTTATCTTGTACGTTATAAGCAGAATCATTGACCACTTCCCTGACGTGCCCCGCCTCTTCAAGTGTGTTTTGCTGTGCTTGTTTTTCGCGTCTGGAGTCCTGGAGTCTTTGTTTCCGGTGTGCGCTTTTCCGAGGTGTCTCTTTGTATTCCAAAGCTTTACCTTTTGAAAAAAAATGTAAGACGCGGCCTCCGCTTCTAGGGGCCGTCATTCCTGAGTGCCTTTCATGTCCGGCAACGAACAAACACTTGTCACTTGTTTGCTCGTCACTTGTGTCGTTTCAAGTTCCCTTTGGGTCTAAGCACATTGTCAGGAAGCACTTCAACCCCTTTGAAACCGAAACAATGCCATCATCGGCGTATTCTTGGACCCTCTGGGTTTATGTCTCGTCCGGCCGTTGGTTGTGCACCCTTGTCTGGCTGACTTGTTTCCCGATCGCCCCGATTTGTTACTACACAACAGATTCCCTTCCAGCATCGGAGCCCAAGAACTGCTTCGAAAAGCTGCTGAAAAGCCCAGGGTTTCCCATAGAATCACTCGACCTGGGGACAGTCTTTCTTGAGGTCTCACAAAGGGGGGTTTTCTTTGGTTCGCCTAAAGAAACCCAACCAAATGGCAGGGATCCCTCAATCCCCCTTTTTGGACCTACACAAGTGGCTGTTTCATGGGGACCCACAAGTAAACTGCAACCACTACAGGGAAAATCCAGTGGCCTCTGACAGGAGGTTCCATCTCAAAAAATCAAACCCTCAAAAAAGGTTCCCCAACCACACACCTCAAGCAAGGCCATGCCAGCTTTTGGGAGAAGCAACAAACAAGTTTGGAAAAGAACGAGACACCATGAATAGTCCTTGAGGCGCTCGAGAATGCATGGCCTGGCATCGTAGCTGATATCATCATCATTGAGCTGGTCTGCTTTTGCAAGAAGTCCGTTTCATGCTCGTTGTCCTGCATCCAGACGTGCTGGATGGCGCCACAAAGATCCAAGTTGCGGCATGAGCCGTCCATGATCATTGGCATTATGGTGAGCAGCGTGTCGAGCGGCAGGCCAAGAGGTCCACCATTCATTCCTCCAGTCGTGAATAATGTTTGTGATTACTTACCCCCCTTGCTTTGCTCTCCTGTATATTAAACGTGGAACCAAAACTAATTCCCCCAAAAGGAGATTCGAGAGTAAAACCCAGCTCTTTTTCAGGGTAAATGCAGCAACAAGCCCTGCAGTTGGTTGCGATGCAGCCATCGCAGCAAAGTCAAAACTGCGAAGGTTACAAACCAGCACGACTGACACCAGGAAAGAACTCAGCGCCCAACACCCATTTCCGTTGGCCCTACCAACATGATTCGTTTATGTAGGCTCTATTCCAATCTTTATGACTACAATCTTTATGGGGCCATGTCGAACCACCAGTTCAAATGGGCAAAAGGAACTTGCACAATCAACTGGTTTCAAGTCAGGAAACCTCAAACTCGTTGGTGCCTCGCCTGTTAAAACGAGGTGCCCCCCTCATTGTTTCATTGCTTTCAGCGACCTCCCAAAGTGCCTGCATTTCCTCTTGATGTCCCTTTACCCAAAGGGGTGTTGCCCAGAAAATAGGCGCCGGTATTAATCATAAAACCAAATATGGGCTGTCTAGTACCCGCTTTCCCAAACATACTTTCCCACGGGTCGAACTTCCGGAAGCTGAGGAATTGAGTTTCAGTGGGCAACCCAAGGAACAACAACCTGCTTCCCATACAAAACAACCAGCCAAACCTAAATCAGACCAAGAACTTTGAAGATTTGACCGCCTTTTGTCAACAAGTGATTTAGAGCCGAATGGCAAGGGAAGCCATAGGAGCATTTGTTGGCCCAACCCACACCCAAATTCTACCCTTTCGGCTTGCCAACATAGTCACTTGTTTGGGCTGCTAGGACGAAACCAATTCTTGTGAACTCTGTTATAATTCTACCCTCCCCATTCTGCTCCGGGATCCTTCTCATCTTCAGTCAATAGGCAAACAGCACGAAAAAACAAAACAAAAGTGGTTTCGGAAGACAAAAATAAGTTCGATGCGGACTCACCCCTTTGAATAGATGTCTTGATGTCACGAGTTGCTCCTAAGCCCAAGGGACACCAACAGCTTTCTGGCCTGCCGTCGGGCAGAGGCCCGTGCGAGCCCTTGCGCAGGGCCAAGACGTAGGACACCACATCCGCGCGAGAGGCGCAAACCACCATGGCCTCTGCGAGCAAAAAAACAAAAACTACGGGGCCATGGTCATGATCTTCATGTTTATAGGAAATCGTTCAATGGTCTGAATCCCCTTAGGCATATGTCCATCACTACCAACCAAAGCAACAGAGTGCTTTGACCAGGGCCTCGCATCTCGCTATGTTGCTTTCTTCTTTTTTCCCCGCATGTCTCAAAGGGTGGGTTGCAAAGGAATATGGGTGTGCATCAAAATAGGGAGACCCCCCCATGCGTAGTTTCCTTTTGCTTCCCCTTTTAAAACCCCAACCGCGGTACCCGCAAAACTTAGGAACAGGGCTGCTCCCTGGCACCAAGGCGGCCCTCGCCCGAACAATCTGCTTTTCTCGGCCCCGAGTGAATAGAACCCCTTTGAATTGATCAATAGGAGCACGCTTTGAGAGCATCCCGAGAAGAAGCCAACGGCAAGGCCTGGTGAATAGTTTACGTCAGAAGCGGGTGCACTCCACGTGAAGAGTCTGTTTCCCCCACCGACACGATCTTCCACCAAACATATCCTTAAAGATTACAAATCGCTGTGAGTTTGAAATGTTGAATCCGATATACATGGGACAGCACAGGCAACCCAATTGGGGACCATCCTTTCGGTGACGTAGGAAACCAAGTGAGTCATAAGCAAAACCTAATGTTGAACGGCCGCACCCGTTTGTGCTACTAACCTAACTTACCCAGGTTTTGTCTGTAGCTCAAGTGAGGTTTGATATTCTCTCCAATTTCGAGAAGTAAGGACAGGCCTCACCAGTGCAAAGGCCTCTTCAACGGGGACCCTTTATTTGCCGCACACAGCAAGTAAGGCAAACCCTGAGCAAATGTGAGAACGCCTGCTGCACATGAGCTACACACAATGATGTGCGAGAAAACAACGAGAGTTGAAAAGTCCTCTTGATTCATGTCCACCCCAGCCACCAATACTGTGGGCGAGGCAAAGATGCACAACAATACTATTTTGTCGTAAATGTATCAACCCCATCGAAAACCAATTGGATTCCTGTGAACGGATACTTCATCATGAGTGCGGGTCTCAAACTCCCCTTTGCGAGGTTATCATGTTTCGTCGAACAACCATCTCACTCGTCTCTGCAAATCGTCACTTCCTGCACGGAACACCTTCAAAGAACTTCAGGGATCCGTATATGATTGGGCGACCCGGATAGTGGGTTCTAACAAATGGGTTTCAAATGGATGCTGCACACATCATTGTCCTGTGCCAGGAACCGCTTCGAAACAGTTTCTGCTAAACCTTGCTGCGGGCTGCGCCGTGGGTTTTCTCGCAATTAGTTTCCGGGTGACGTTTGAAGGAGACAGTCTGGGCACCCGTTTAACAGGTGCTAACAAGTGGATTTCAATTGCTGGCACAGGACAACCATATGTGCAGCATCCATTTGGAACCCATTTGATAGAACCCGTTAAACGGGTGCCCAGAATGTCTCCTTGAAACATCATCCCACAGGGAAACTAAAGCAATAAAACCCACGGCGCAGCCCGCAGCAAGGTTTAGTAGACACTTATTCGAAGGGGTTCATAGAAGTGGTTTGAGAACCTTTCTGGGGGGGCATGCAAAAAACTGGCTGCCCCTCCTGAGTCCCAAAAGCGGAGCCTTCCACACACGTGTTCCTCTCCAATCAAACCAACAAGGGAAGCAAGCAGAACCCCCGAAACTCAATCAGCCCAACCAGTCACAATCAAAACCGAGTATCAAAGGGTGGCGTCACACCTTGGGACGGCCCCCTAATCATGTACCCGGGGTGTGACTTTGGCTCACGTACCGCCAAGATCGGCTCTTCTCGCCTTCAGGCTCTGGACAAAGGCGGCAGGGTATCTTTGCTGCAGCCTGCAGCTCGCGCAATGGACGGAAGGTTTTTGTTTCCCCTAGGTTAGAGGGTTCACTTTTTCGAAGAAGCCATTGCTTGGGGTGGGTTTGGGTCGGGCTTGGGTTTCTTTAGGGCGGGTTTTTGGTTGGTTTAGGTTGGCCAGGTTCAGGGTTGGTTTAGTGCTGGTTTTGGGTGTGCTTAGGGTCGGGTTTAGGTGGGTTTGTGGTGGGTTTAGAGTTGGTTTCGGGTAGGTCAGGGTAGCTCTAGGCTGATTTCGGAATGATGTGGTGCTGGTGTAGTATGGATTTAGGGCTGGCTCAGGGTTGGTTCCCGGTGGTTTACGCTTGCCATAGGGGTTGCTTAGGGTTGATTTGCGTGGTTTAGGGATTGTTTAGTTCTGCTTTACGGTGGGTTTAGAGTTGGTTTAGAGTTGGTTTAGGTTGGGCTTCAGGCTGGTTTTAGGGTTGGTTTCGCGCTGGTGTAGGCTTGGTTTGGGGCTAGTTTACGTAGGTTAAAGGTTGGTTTAGATTTTGTTTGGGGATGGTTGAGTTGGTTTAGCGGCGGTTTAGGATGGGTTTCAGGTTTGTTTGGGTGGGTTTAAGGGTATTGTGGTTGAGGGCTGGTTTAGGGTTGGCTTAGAGCTGCTGTAGGCTTGGGCTGGTTTAGCGTTGATTTAGGGATAGTTTAATGGTGATTTCTGGTGTGTAGTGTTGGTTTAAGTGGATTTAGGGTTGATTTGGGGTTGGTTTAGGGTTACTATGGGATCGCGTTGTTTAGGGTCGTTTGGGGTGGGCTCAGGCTGGTTTAGGTGCTTAAGTGCTGGTCTAAAGCCTAGAGTTGGTTTAGAGATTGCTTAGGTTCTGTTTGGGGTTGAGTTTAAGGTGGCTTAAAGCTGGTTCAGGGTGGGTGTAGGGTTGGTTTAGGCTGGGTTTCGGACTAGTATGGTTGGGGTGGGTTTAGGTGTTCAGGGTTTGTCAGTTTGTCAGGGTTGGTTCAGGGTTGCTTTGGGCTTGGTTAACGTTGGAAAAGGGTGGGTGCACACGCGTAAGGCCGTAAGGCGAAAGGCGCGCTTGCAAGGTACGTAAACACGCATGCACATGCACACGCATGATGAAAAAGGAAATACAAGCTTGTACACACACACACATACGCTTACAGGGTCGCTCACTCACACACCTGCGCACTTCGCACACTTACTCACTTGCCTACTTACACATCAACACACCTAGACACCTAGACACCTACACCACACACAGTCCTTCCTCAAAGTCTTACAGCCTTATTGTCGCCTCTTGCTTCTTGTGCTTGCTTACTGAAAGTTGAACGCCTTTCTCTCAAAAAACCCTCCAGTGCTCACAGCGTGGGATTGGAACTCAAGCCGCTCTTCTAATCTCAGCGCCAATGATCGGAAGTGTGCGATCTTCGACCGTGAGGTGCAATGCGATGCGCTATTCATTCCCCCCTCAAAAAAAATCGCACAACTTCAGCTGGTGGGTGTAGCGGTTGCTGAGGAGAGAAGTCTACTCAACAATTTGTCTAATATTCGCAACGGGTTTAACTTGACGATCAACGACCAGCGGGGACAAAAGGAGAGACTAGAAGTGGATGTTTCTTGGTTTCATGTTGATCTGGGGGGCAAAAGCCGCCAAGAAATCCAGAAATAGCCTCTGGGTCCCTGGATTCTGGAACTGGGAGGGGGAACTTGACCGAGATCTTCATTCATAATTGAAGAAACACTTGCTCAAGGAGGCCATCGGACACTTGAACATGGAACCCAAAAAGCCGTCATTTGAACCTTCTTTTCTCCTTTTGGGAACCGACAAAATGTTGCGTCACTTCCTAAGGGGGCTTGTGTCAAGGGGCCGAGGCCGAGAGGCCGAGGCCTGCCACTGGCCCCACGCCTCTGCAGATCTGCCAAGATGTATGCTGACTTCTGGGGGAGCTCCGTTAGCTCCGTCAGCTCCTCGTAGTTGGGCAGCACGTCCATCACCACTCCTGGGGGCACCATATTAACATAGTATATGCAGTATATAGGTATATAACCTGCACAGCAAATTCTATGTTTAGGGTCCCTTCATACCTTCTCCAGGGTCTTGCCGCGATCCAGGTTCCCCACATCCCCGAAGTGTTTTTTTTTGTTTTGCAAGGGAGAACCAAACAAACAAGCAACCAAACAACTTTCAGACAAACATGTTGCTCCAACTTTCAAGGCGTGTTGAGCAGATCTGGGTGGCTGCTGGCTCCCCTGCAAAGAGTCAAGCCCGTTTACAAATCCTTGTCATCTTCCACGAACTTACCTCGCAATGATAATGGTGTTGTTTGTTGGGTTGCACTTCCCCCCCAAACAAATGTGACAAGGGTCTAACATTTTGTAACTGGAAGATCCATTGTTTCCGAAAGGTCCAAGGGGCGAATTGGTCACACCAGTCCTAATCGTGGCCACTGCATTTGAACAAAACACGGGGTTTGCAGGCCCTGCAAATGTGCTTGTCTCATCTGAGACTTCGTTCCTTGTCTTAAATGGGCCTGTCCTTCTTGGAGTTAGAACTTTTGGAACACGATCATCTAAAGGCCCCCCCTGTCTGCTTCCATGATTATTGGAAGCGGGTATGTCTGAGTGAAACAGACAAAGCCCGGGGAAAAGACATGTCTGACAAACCTGCCTTGATATGTGGTTGCTTGGTGGATGTTCAAGGCATTCCCCCCCCGGCTCCCAAAAACCAAACATATCCATCTCGAGAAAATACAATCATCCACCGACGCTCCCAAAGAACAAACAATGAGCCCCAGACTCCCAGTGTCCATCTGGGTATAAGAGCTCGAGCAACGAGCAACACAACAACCGGATACCTAGTACCATGGACTCACCAAAAGCACTATTGACACAATTCCCCCCAAAGACCCCTGGCCCCTGGACAATCGAAGTGAGGGATACTTTTTCCTCCCGACAATCCCCACAGGGTCATCACTGGAGCGAAGGGATCTTGTTGGGCGAATCCTAATCCGTGATCCGTACTGGGAGACAAGGGAAACCACCACTACCTTGCTTAAGGATGAAGGATTGAGTTTGAACAACGCAAATGGATCTCACGTGAACCCAACACCACAAAGAGGCGCTACGGGTTTTCTTGGACACACGAGGCCCTTCAAGCTGGCCTTGGCTTTGTCGCCAAATGGAGGACTCCGCAAAAAAAAAACAAAACAATATGAGTCCAGCCGTACCTTGCCCATTCTCTGAGGGAATTTCTGCAGAAAATGTGCCAACTCCCAGGGAACATGAGGATTTCTGAAGAGATGGGTGAAGAGAATGGGGACCATTATTTCGTCGTCATGTCTGCTTTCTACATTCACTGCTATTCATTTTCCTTTAGAATGCGAGACTTGATGTACCCGCCCTTAGTGCACAGGACCCTGCTCCAGAATGAAAGTAGGAGTCCGTGCACCAAGCTATGTTGGTGCGGTCAACATGATCTTGCTGGTGCTCAGCAGGAATGAGGGCATGACCCCTATAAACCATCCAACTGGTGGCCCCTGGGTTCATTGCCTCATTCCCTACTGAGCACCCGCAAGTTATAATACTCGTCTGTCAAAACCAGGTGTTTCCTTTTTTTCGGGCCCAAATGGAGCTCCTTGCTCCTCGGCCTGGCCCAAATGATAGCAGTGCACGGCACCCAGCGCTTCTGGGCGATCAGGCTGCACCCGACCAAAGAGCCTCGCCGGCTCAGGAGTGCGCCTCCGAAAAATAAGGGAATGTCAAAGTTGGAAGAAATTGGCGTGCCTTTGGTCTTTTGGCTTCACTTGTAAGGACCAAAGGTACCCCAAAGGTACCCCAAAGGTACCCTCGAAACAGGCATCATCTCTGAGTTGTTTGGGGGATCCACCAAACAAGATGGGATTTGGAGAGCGCCACTGAACAACCGGGTCCCTTACATGCGGATAGACTCTATATTGGAATCGTGTGACCTCTTTGGGTGTTTTGGGGCTGCCCTTGACAAAGTGAAGCTCAGCGAAATAAACTCCTCCAGATCTGTAGTCTGGTTTCTCCCTTGTCGGATTCAAGCGGAAGTTCCCTTCAGGTGACTTCGGCACAGGTGACTTCGGCACATGCGGCCAGCTGCCAGTTGAGACCCCAAGCTTCTTTTTCAGCCAGGGGTTGGATTCTTCTGGGGACCAAGAAGAGGATATTCAAAGCAAATATGGTTTATATATCTTGGAGCAGGTTGTCCAAACCAGTTCACTTGGTGACAAGCCTTGCCACAGCAGGTTAAACAAATGTGAAACAAAGCAAACATAGGTCTGCAAACAAAACTATAATTCCAAAGGCTGAACTAAGGGATCCCCAAACAAAATGGTGAGCTCCTTATACCCCCAGGTGAGCTCGCTGCAAAATAGGCAGATATGTTCCTCCTGGTGGATTTACAGCTGGGTAGGTAAAACAAATCGAGCATTCCCCCACAATGGATCATAAAACATCATGAAGTCATCATCATGGGAACAATATCTGCATAATTCTGCTCCTTGTGTTGTATTACACCATCTTAGGGTAATGACACTGGGTGACACAGACTACTTTGCAAGCCTCAGGGCGCTGGCGCTGGGTGTGCCGGTGAAGCCAATGTATACCTCCGCTTTGTCGAAAGACCGAATCTGCAAACCCAAGGAAACCAAAAGGAGAAGTGCCGCACTCGGGGTCGGTCTTCAACCAAGTAAGAGGGTCCTTTGACTCCACGTAAGCCACGGGTCCTGGGCTCGGGTCCCAAGCATTGAAGACGCCCCCACCTAAACCAGCAAACGTGTAAAATGATCCTTGAAATGGGCGAGCAAACTCTGAATCACAAACCTAAACCCTAAAACCATACAAGTCACAAATCTAAAGTCCAACAAGCCTGAAAACAAAACCATAACACCCTCAACCCTAATTCCACTTGCTCCGCGCTCAAAAACGAAAGCTGAATATCTTTGTGTACTTCTGCTCCGGCTTCGCCCGCATCTGAGGTGATCAAAACTTGGTATTCAAGTGGTCCAAGCCATGTAGGGTGCGGATATCTGCCTCTATTCATGGTGGCACTTTCCCTTATTATTCTTCACTTCCGTTGGCCCATATGTGCGGTACACAGAAAATAGTTTTTCTGACTCTGGTCCACATTTAGCCCACCCCAAAACAAAGAAGACCCCAAACAACCACAAAACCATCTACAACCCCAAAGACATCCCCCCCCCCCCCCCTCAAAAAGAAGACAAAACCCGACAAACCCGACAAAACCCGACAGCTGATTCGCCTGGGATGCTTCAAGCCCCCCGAGCAGACCGTCGATCACCTTATATTGCTTTAATGGACAAGCCATTTAAGCTCACACCAAAAACTCTACATGATAAGCCATTCTGCGCCAAAGTTGGATTGCCATCCACTTGACCATGCCACTTTATAACTTTATAGTACTTTTGCGGGGCGTTCCAATCCCGCGACCTCCGCTCCCTTCGCTTCTTCCGCCGCCCGAAAGGCGCCCGGGAGCCGGGAGCCCGCGCCAGGCGCCCGCGCCGGGTGTCGCCGAAGAGGCGCCGCACCGCGGCGGAGGTGGCGCAGCCGTGGAAGTGGCTCCGGTGGCACTCCTGGCACAAGGGGACTCGGTTCAACGAAAATTGGCCCAGAAGAAAACGCTGAAAAAAACAACGCCATACAAAAATACTCGGGGCGTGTACATGCAACCTGAAGGGAAACAACCGAAATTTGTGGGTATGCTAAGACACGCCCACATGCGTCACATTGGTGGTTCCCTTTAAAACATCAGCCAGCTTAAATGGGCCCTTTAAAGACGATGTTTAACACCACCCAACAAGGAGGAATCTTGGGCAGGAAAAAATGTCCCCTTCACCACCAACCAAAAATTGGGTTTCCCTTTCGCTCAGTTTGGAAGAACCAAGAAAAACACGCAATCCACAAATTGCAAAATGGCACGGGAACTCCAACCATTTGCGGGTGGGGTGACCGTGACCGCCCAAACCGCGCCTCACAAATGATGGCCACACGCCCTCGCTGGAAGACAGGGGCCAAAAGGTTCGGGGTCAGGTGGTCGCTGTCCTGACGGAGTCACTTCCAACCAGTGGAACCCAGGATCCGATTCTTGCCATCCCACCCAATCTCGAAAACCGCTGGCGTTTGAAGAGAACCAGGGTTGAACATGGGGAATCACCCCCTAGAGTTGAACAACACTCGCGCCCTCTCTCCAAGAGAACACGGCTGGCTTTGGCCTCTTCAGATAGTGACTCGCTCATTGTCACGAATCGAACAACTCAATGGACCTTTAAACTCTAAACAAACAAAAAGGGCAAAGTCAACAACCTTCCAGCAGCCAACTGACTTTGAACTCTGACCTGAAAGTTCATGGCTAGAAGTGATTCACCCGCATACTGTGGACACTGTGGATGCACAAAACCCTGCACCAGTTGGGATGGATGAAATCCTATGGATTTTGTCCATACACAGTATGACATGTTGTTGAACCGCTGTCCGTCGTTCAAACAAGTGGTGCCAACAACCTCTCAGCGTAAATACATGCTCAAAAAGGTCAAAAGACTGACTTGCTTCGGGCAACCAATCAGTTTCAACAAGTGCCGCCCGCCATAATTGAGTTTCGGAGTATCCCTCCAAATGAATCAACTCAGTGTCAGCATTCCCCACTCACCCACAAGGACCTGGCCAGAACGACCCTTTAGCGGGGACAAAACCAAAAGCGGCCTAGCCTCAAGGATGGTCCTTGGAATCCTCTTACAAGGGGCTAAAATGAGCTGTCAGAGACCTCCAATCAGGTTCCATGGCAAGTTGGGTGGCAGAGTAACCTGCAACAAGGACTTTGTGTTGTTCTCCAGGGGGACTCCCGGCAACTTCTACCCCACTTCGATCGATTGGAGGGTTCCTACAGAGGGGCGCAAAGGCCTTGCACCGAAGGCACCTGGGAAAGCTGCCATTCCTTGGACGACTCCCTTCAGCTCAAAAAGTAGCAGCAGCCCGCATAGTATCTTGCGTTGCCGGGCCCCGCGGATTCCAGACAAATCCGGGACAAAACAAATGTAATTTCAGAGACATGTTGCCAGCCTGAAAAAGGAACTTCAGGAAAAGAACCATGGTTTCCACATGGCGCTTAGCCAAGGTATGGTTGATGTCCCTCAAGGATGCACAGAAAACGTATTTTCGGATTTTGCTTCATACCAGGTGTCGTGAGTGAGGTCGCAAGGCACAAGCCAACTGCCCCGAACTCCCCTGCTGAAAGCCAAGCGGCCGACAGAAGGCGGTCCAGCTTCCTCGAATCGGGCAGGCAAGCAAATGCAGATTCCGATATTTCCCAAACCGACCCAACCATACAGCCGTGTCTCGTGTGTATCCTGTTTGGGATTGTTTGTTGTGTTAAAACGAAAGGAACACAGCACATTTTGAGGGTACCCATCATTACAAGACAAGCCTATGAGTCCGAATAAGACTCCCTACGAGGCCTTATTGGGTTCGTTTCGGTGAACATTTCGAAGACGATCAAAGTTTTCTGGGGTGCAAGCATTCCTTCAGGGCAATTTGGAAAGCGTCCCAATGGACTGAGAATGAAGAGATCCTGTTTTTGAACCTGCGAGTTACGGCCTAAGAACTAAGGACTTGTTTTAGCCAGGTCGGGCCTTCATAAGAATCACAGAGCAATTGGACTTGTGTCTACATTGGGGGACCCTTTGATTCGGTGGGTCACAACCACCCTTTCTGAAGCCCTTTCTGAAGCCCTTTCTGAAAGAAAAGCAACACAAGTTCTTGGGAAACCGCATGTGGAGAGGATTTGGGTGTTGGGATCTGGATCGGTTCCCAAAGCCCCGGCAAATCAAAGATCACAGCGGCCAACGACTCAAACACGGACGAAAGGCTAAGAGTCAAATTGTCGCTTCGCTTGGGAACAATTCAGGGCAACTTGGCCTTGGAACCTGCAAGGAGTCCTGGAGCTTATGTTCCTGCCTTCGAACCTGAGCTCGGCACGGACCAAGATTTTGTCGCTCCAATCGTTTGGTCTTTTGCCCGACAGGAACTTCCGCCGGTCAGGTTCCTAGTCCAAACCAACACAACTAACACAACTCATAAGGACAATGCTCAGTTTGCCCACATTGCTCAAAGGGCACCGTTTGGAACAAGTCCAAACTGTCTGCTCCAAACTAAAAAAAATGGACCTCTTGTTTCCCACGAAAACTGGTCACAAGTGCAACTAAAGTGGCCCAAGCATCAAACTCCAAAAGTTTGGGCTTCGCTAGTCCTTCAGGACAGCAGTCCCAGTAGGGTTTTGGTTTTGTGGGCCGGTTCTAGCGCAGCTTGCCCCACACCGTCAAATGGTAAGAAATTTAGGACCTCCGGTTCTCAAAACCCTTCTACAAATTGTCATATACTTCCAACTTTGGCGGCTTCAAACACCTTTCTGGCCCCTCGGTGAGTTTCCATTGGTTGACGTTTAATGGGAAATGCCGGGGTCCAAGAAGACTCTAAGAACCCTTCTTGATCTCCCTGGTCAAACAGGTGTTTGGCCGACTTCAAGTCCGAACTTGTTCACCAGTTTCTCCCCCAAAGTTCTAGGTGATTCCCGTTTTCCCAAGGTTGACGCTTTGCGTCCTGGAAAGAATGCGGAAGTTTCCCTAGAATCACCTGGACCTGAGTTGACGGGCTAGAAGGTCTTGAATGAGAAGGGTGTGCCTTTTTTGGGGACCCACAAAAGGATGGTTTTCGTGGTTGTTTCCCTTCAAATCCAACCAAACAAGGCTCAAACAAAAACATATTCAGAAAGCACCTAACAACAAAACACTATGACAGCTGAACTGTTAAAAACAAAATCAAACGTGTACAAGTCAAGAAACGAGGAAACTTCAATTAAAACTCGCAAATGGAAACGGAGGCGTGGCCCAGCCAAAAGCATGTATATATGTATGTATATATTATATATATATATATATAGATAGAGATATTTGTTTGATTCGGATCCACATTTAGTGAAACTGCATGATCATGTAAAATAATGTGCTAAAGAAAAAAACGATGCTTTGACCCTGGCTCATGTGATTGAAGCCCCTGACTTGTCAGGCCATCAAGTTGAAACGCGCTTCCTGAGCGAATTGGCCAAATAGGTCCAAACTGGTTGCCACAAAATATATTTCCCAAAAAGTGGAAGGTCCAGGAACTCGCCAAGTGAGGGAAGCCCTGGAAAAAGGAGACGAATGGCCCAAACAGGGAACTCCAAGGACCCCAAACACTCCAAACAACGGACAATGGACCCCCATGAATTGACATGGATCTGGACAAATTCTAGTCATTCACCCGCCAGAACAAACGGACCCCATATGAAAGGAACCTTCACTATGGGTGACGTCGCACATCCCCCCAACCCGAACCGAGGCAAAATGCTAAGTGGAGGGGATCCTGAAAATGGGCTGTTTCGCTTTGGTCTGTTAAAGCAGCCACAAAAAGCGTACCAAGTCAAAAACGGAACCACATCCATCTCAGGAGAAACGAACGGCCGGCTTCAAAGTCCCAAGCTTCTGCTTGGTGGTGACCACCGTCCAGCACTTCCCTGTCGTTTTGTGCTGCGCCGCAGCGCTCAGCACCTGAAGCGCGAAGCAACCGGCGCCCTGTTGCCGAAAAGGCGTCCGGTGGGTTTTGGTTCTTCGGCTCTGGAGGTATGGATGCTTGTATCCCACAATAGGCCGGTGAGGCAGGAAATATAGACCCCCCCATGTGGAATGTGACCTCCATACCTCCAAAACGCATACAGTACCTGGTACTACCCTTGATGGATCCAGCTGTGTGGCTGTTGCCCTGGGCACAAGGTTTCACTTCTAGCTCCCCCAGAAGGGAAAAGGAGAAAACTCTGACCGATGCGAGTCGACCGACGGACTCGACTGACTCGCCTTCACGAGGCAGTGCCTCCCGTCGGCGCGGCAAAGCTCGAAGTCCCCATTGCGGCGCAGGAAGAGCTCCACGGTGTCCCCGAGCCTCAGGGCGTTTCAAACGCGAAAGGCGAACTACGTGGGGTATGTGACAACATAGGGGAACCCCCCAAAATTGCAGGTTGCTGTGTTCTTGTTCTTTCAAAACCAGCCTCAGGCTGCGAGTTTTGAACCCAAAAGGACCCCTTTATCCACCAATTTTTGGCCACACATTCGACGCATTCAGAGCGTTGCCAAACCGGCAATTGCTCCGCGTTAGTCAGCGCAAGTCTGCACCTTCTCAACATGATTAAGAAACCTACCTACTACTTCAAAAAGCCGCCTTTGTGTTAGTTGATACAAAACACAACAAAAAATCGGTTTTCTGTGATCACGTGATACAAGTATTTGGAGTACGGACTGTAGGAGAAACCTTGCCTACCCGCTATTCAAGTGTTTGGGGGCACCAAAATTCCATCTCAATGGTTCATCTTAAGTGATGCATGTGAGTCACAATCAAAACATGGTGCTAAAGTGTCTACCCGACCCCAAACCGCTTGTAAAGAATTCAGTGCGCGGATGCTCGCACCATTGTTTTTCCCTTTTTGGGCTTTGAGTGCGGCTCAACTGATTCTTTCGAAGTGGACATCAATTGCTTGGAAGTGTCTGCTTATTACTGTTGTCCTTCAAAGTTCAAGGCTCGTTTCCGTCAAATCCAAGCGCGGCCAACCTTGCGACTCCCTGTCACTCGTCTGAACTCTCAGGGCCCTAATGATCAAGACTCCTGCCCACTCCAAATACCCGCCCTTTTTTGATGCATTTTGAGAAGCTTGGTTTTCATGCATGTTTGCCTCAGGGGGTAGGATGAAGCCCTAACACAAGACGGTGTAGTAGTCGGTGTTTACAAGCTACCCAAAATCAAGTTTGCAAAAGCGTAATTTCCACTGGGTTTCCTCGAACGTTGACCAATTGACCGGTGGGTTCCTGTGAAACTGGATGTTCAAGGACTCCAGGTGCCACTTTTGGAGGTCCAGCTTCTCAAAATGCTGGATCCCCTACTTTTTAGGCATTTAAAGTGAGCCACAGCGAAACCAGCCCTTTTCCTAACTGGTGTTATTTCTCACTATGGCTAGAACCTGCTTCAGTGGATTGACCCATCCAACCATTTTGAAAAGCCCCGGTCATGTTGTGGCCTTCTGCCGAGGCACTGTTGATCCAGCTGGACCCGGTCGCTGAGCAACAGGACCAGCGCCATGCCTCCGCCCTGGCAAGAAGTGCGCGGTCGATTGCAAAAGGCCCATCTTTTCTTGGCCCACATTCATATTTGGTTGCCAAGGCCGGTGGAATCTCCTAGCAAGGGAGCTCAGAATAGACCCAAATAGACCCTATTAGGCATTATTGGGCGCTATTGCGGATGGGGGGGGGGTGATTTTGGGGGGCCCTTGACAACTCTTTGGTAGGCATCACTTAAATGGGAATTTGGGGTCTGTGATTTTGGACAGTTTGTGGGTTCCCTGATAAGAGGATGGTAACATGTTACCCAGTTAGGTGAAAAACCCATCAAACAAAAAGGGAAACCGCATGCCTCTGAAAAACTGGGGTTATGATTACTTTGATGTATCTCTGGTCACATGTCACTGTGCAAAGCTGATAAATCACTTGCTCAATGGGCCTGGAATCACAAAGTGACCACCTTCGGGAAAGGACTTAAACCGAATTTGACCCAGGTTTAATGAACCCCTGGTTGATCAACCAGGCAGGCGTCCCCACTCAAGCCAGGGATGTACTGTACAAACGGTAAGTCGGTCCCGCGCAGCCCATAGACATACCCCAATACCACCAAAGAATTTTCTGAAAGCTCATTTGTGGTGTAGGCCTTCGAGTACGGGGCACGTAAAGGCCACATAGCCCAGTTGCCCCGTTGCCCATGGAAGCTCCGCGAGAAATCCCCCGCTCGCCTTTTCCGCCGGATTTCGGTTCCGCAGGCAGTGTACAAGTAGCGCCATGGTGGCGGATTTCCCGCTGCCTGAAGTCGAAAAGCACGTCGGCGAGAGATGTGCGTCCGGACTCAGGTTGGTTGAAACAAATGGACCTTTGGTCTCCTACCGTTGGTCTCTTACTGTTGGTCTCCTACTGTTGGTTGATTGTTGGGCGACCCGTATGGGTTCCAGGAAATGGGTTCCAAATGGAATCTACATAGATCTTTGTGTCCTGTGCAGGCGATCGGAACCTGGCAGAAAGAAGCCGTGAACAGGAAACTTGCCTTCCAGGTTCCTCCCACAGGTTGGGATTGCTTGCAACACCTATACCGTATCCCTGTCCCTGGCAGGCAAGCAACAAACTGTGTATTTTGTGCAGCCCACGAACAATGAACAAAAACAAACAACAACTAAAACAAAAAGCATGCCGAGAACAGCGGAGAGAAAGAATCAGGACCACTTAAGGGGCTTGAACATGAGTTGGGCAACCCCAAGCGAGTCAGGTTGTCGAGGGTGTTCAACCGGGCTGGGTGTTTTTGTTTGTAAATGTTTTGAAACCAAAAAGGAGCCATAATCATTCTGAGACAACCCCGCTGGGACAAAAAGTCAAGAGGCTTCCCTCACCCTTCAACGGGCCGGACAAATGATGCTTCAGACTTAAGCATTGTAGAAGCCCTTCCCGCGCCTTCTCCCCCCCCTTCCCGCGAGCGAAGCTCGCCTGTGGCATGCTGCACCAGCAGGTTTTGCTGGCGCCCCAAGCGCCAATCCTCCGCAAGCGCCTCCTGCACCCGTTGCACCGCCTGCGTTCGCGTTAGGGGCAAGGTCGCCCTGTTTGGGGTTCCTTAGTGTTTCTCCTGGGGTTCTTTTAGGGTTTTTTCCCAGGTGTTTCTGGGCTTCGTGGATTCCAAGAAACCAGCTCCACACAAGAGTCAGGGAGCTAACCAACACCCCCTGCAATATAACAGCCAGGATGCAGGGACCATGGGGTACGCTGAAAAGATGTACTGGAAAGTTCTTGAGGAGGATTCGTCGAAATGAATCCGGGCGAATGAGAATGATAATTCAGTTCAACGTTGCCTTAGGAAACTTTTAATTCAACTAACACACGGACAACACTAATTTGATCAAGAGAGAAACCAACTACTCATGGAAAAATGATGCTGCAAGAAACCCTTTGTGAGGTCGCCATAGTTCGAATAAGCAACAATGCTTCATCACTACTGTAACATCAGGATAAACAATCCCCCCCGTTGATTAGTAAGAGGTGTTACCATTCAAGTTGGGTGAGTTCTAATAATACTTCACCATCAGGAAATAGGGAATGGACCGCAAGGAAATGTTGTCAGTGTGGAAACACCCAGGAGTAACTGTTTTTCTCCACCAAACATTGTCGCACCATTTACAGGGGAACCCAGTTGCATTGTCATAAAACTGGAATGCCAAAATGTCCAATTAGAGCGAGGCGAGCACGAAATCTCCAAAAGATATGAAAATCCACGCTCATGTTGCCAAACTAACCCTGTTTGGGGGTACCAGGCCTTTCCAAGCCAACATGGGAACAACATAAGCCCGGATGATATCCCCAACACCAACCCCCGCAACCCTTCCGGAACCCTTGCCCAGAGTCGCTCCGAACAACTCCGCATGGGCAAAGACCCCAAAGCTTTCAGCTGGGAAAAGACAGTTGTCCCTTTTTGCTGGACCAAAAACTAGAAGCAGGAAACTCAGGGCAAAAAAATGCAAAAAAGACAACCACACATGTCCCTGTGCTTCCAGTTCCCAGAAAGCAACAAGGCAGGGTGTCCTACCTCTTAGGTTTTTACATCACGGTTTCCCCATGGTTCCATCCAGCCGCTGCATGTTTCAGGCACTGATGCGCCTCCAGCTGGTGGCACCAAGGCTTTCGACGTGTGCCCCGCAGGAATGCCTCCTCCATGCGGGGAGCTCCCTCCAGGGGCTTCGGCTTGCCCGGTTGGGGTTGGATTTGTGGTTTGGTGGCGGGGCTGTCTTCTAAGATGCCTGCTTGTTGGAAAGGTACTGTTGAAAAACCTGACTCTCCCTGAAGCAAATACCTCCTTGACATCACACCCGAAATAAGAAGAGGGTATTTGGAGTGGGGGGTGATTGTGGGAAACCGTCCTTTCTGTGGATACTGGTCCATCCCCAAGACTACTTTGTCATATTTCAGGGGTGTTGGTGTCACACAAAAATGCAATTGTCCACAACCATGAACACCAAGCAGGGCCAGCTTCTCATTGAAAGTGGCCCCTCGAAGCTTTCAAGGCTGGGAGGCGGCCGCGGCGACAATCCAAGGCAGGATGAGCGAGTCCACCGTGACGCAAAGTGCACCGCGCGGGCAAAGGCCAAGGGACTCATAGGCTTCCAATCGACTCCATGTATTGACGACCCCAGGTGCATAGTTGTCTCAGATTCAGGCAACTGCCCCTCAGGGCCAGCAGAGATCTCTCTGCTTTGTCTTGTTTCCCCGAAATGGGGTTTTACTTTCTTCTTTTTTGCTAGTTGCCTATTGGAAGCGCTTGGGAGCTTGGGCATCGATAGTGTTAGGGCAATACCCACATGATCACGAAGACTCCAAGTAGCTCCAAGTAGGTTTCAAAAGACTTTGCTCCGGATCTACCAGACATGAGCTTCTTGCAAGCAGAGGAGCGGGCAGCTTTTCAGACGATCCCAACGGGTTTGAGGCAGGGTTGGGCAACTAAACCTCATAGTTTGAACCACCCTTCTTCAAGCAACCCTCCCTTGAGTTTCCGTTTAAACGTGCTGTGCCAGTTTCTTTCAATGAGCTTTGCCCAACCGTTGGATTCCGCTAGCGCGCCAGCTCGGCTTGTGCAGTGCTCCGCTCGGCTGTAAGTTTGATATAGTTTGATATCAGCCCGAGCCCTTGCCAAAAGTTATTTGCTTGCTGTTTTTTTGCTGGAGGGTACCCTTTCCAGATTGGTTTCAAAGGGAAACCAAAAAAAATGCCTCAGGGGTTTAGGGGTTTAGGGGGGTTGGCCAATTTTGACAAACTACTCAAATAACTCTCATGAAGCCATCTGATTTCAAACATCTGAAAGTCTCAGGAACTGCCCAGAAACGGTTCGGGGTTCAGCCAATCATCCTGCGCTCTCGCAGCTCTGCACAAGCCGCGCAACGGCGATTGACACTGCCAAGGCGCGCCGAAGCTCTGCCGCCGAAGATAGGGCCATGTCCGAAACTTGGCCGAAAGTCAACGGGTCGTCGCGCGAAGATCGGCGGCTGGAAAGAGGGTGGCGAAAGGCAAAGAGTCTCACTAACCCAAAAGACCCCGGAAATGTTCATGGATCTCCAGTAGTGATAGTCAGATTTTCCCGTATGTAGACGTCGCACAACCATCACCCCTTGGAGATGCCCAGAATCGGGAACTGGTCGGCATTGGGTCAGCGCTCAGGGGCAGAACAGAAACTCCGCTGGGCCCCCGAAATGGATGAGGCCTGTTTGGTTCCCTTTCATCAACCCGCAAAACAGCTCATCAGCACCAAGCTATGGCTTGCCCCACTTGTAGCCACCCAGCCCGCACGCGACGCTGGAACAAGCTGTTGCCGAGGCACAGTTGCCAAACCGAGGTTGGCACCACGCCAAATGAGCGACTCACAAACAATATCATTTAGTGGGACCTTGTCTGTCCCCCCAAATAAGTTTTGTCCACAGCTGTACACTGCTTCCGACTACCCTGGAGAACCACAATCAGGGATGGTTCTTCTTTTCATTTGGTAGTTTGTATTGAAGAAGTCCCTCTACAATTGGTATCATCAATGTTCGCTCAAGAGATAAATCAACCTTGCAAATAAACAGGGGGTGCTCGGATTCCCTCTAAAGAACACATTGCTCTAATCAACCATGAGTTTATTGATCAACATTGCATCCTCTGGCGAAATCCGAAGTTCATATTGCCCAGACGTGGACTTAGTGCAGAATTTCAAGTCCTGCCATGCCCCCATCCCTTTTTGACCTGGAGTCTTCATGGGCCCGAATCAAAATGCTCGATGCACCCACTCAGTACGTCCATTTTGCTGCTCGTTCCTTTGGCTGAATTCCTAGAGCATGACTTTTGAGAACAAGTTTTCACACAAAGGCCATATTGCCTTGGAATCACTTGTTGGTTTGGCAATTGACGGTTTTACCCGATGTGTCATGCATCATTACCTGCAGGTGCCTTTGAAGGGGAATATAGTGCGAGGTTCCTTTACAGGGAACCAATCTATTCTGTCTGACCAGCAAGAAGGATGCTGTGGCGCATGTAGTAGTCGCAGTTGCAACGGGACACGTTCGGTGGGAAAGGACCCCATTTCAATTGGGGAGCCCACAAAAAGACAATGGCTAGTTTATTCGCGAATTATCCACCCAGTCTGACTTAATTGTGGGAAAGCAGCCACCAGAGGGGAGCCAAATGGTCCTGGGTTCTTGTCTGGATGCATACAATCAGCATTTGATTCAGCAGCACTCCAAACTTGGGCCAAATCTGGGGTACACCCAAAAAACATGTACAGATTATCTGTCATATTTCTTTGTCTACCCCAAAACATAGAATATTCGAGGAGACTCCCAGAATCCTAGTGTGTTTTCCTTCGCAGAAGGCAGCCTGCAGAATCCCCGTGTCTTTCAAGGGACGCCCGTGGAACACTCCTGTAGGGTCAACACTTATTGTGCCCTCTATGCTGGGCCAGACTTCGACCGGCAACAAGTCTAGCTTTTGCTGGTTGAAGGGCAAGTGTGGCAATGTATGGATGTGGGAAAAGCAAGGAAATTTGCTTTTCCCGCACAGGGCGATGTCTTTCGGCATGGTGGCGGTCCTTGGACAACTGCCCGCGAATGACTTCAAACAATCCTGGCCGGAGGCAGCTGGATCCAAAAAGCCAACAGTGTGGGTCCAAATGGAACAAGGAAGAAACTTGTGCCCGCCGAATGGTTCTTTCTGACTTTGAGCAACGCTTTGCCCGTTGATTTGCTTTCTTATCCTTTTTTGGAGGGGTTGCGCTTTGGGGATCTCACACAAAGCGGGGGGGGGCGCCAAGGCCCGTCGCCTGGTTCTTTTAGCGGGTTCCTGGCTTGAGGCTTCCGGAGCCTCGGTCTTGATCCAGCGTCCAATTTTGAATCCTGACGTACTTTGAAGCCCTTAACCCCACAAAAAACCGCCCTCAAAGGGCACCAGGGGGCCGCTGGAAACGCATCTTGATAAGCTTGAAGCTGATGATGGCTCCTCAGCTTCGACCATGAAGGCTAAAAACTACATGTTCAATGAAACGAAGCCCAATGAAAGATCCAACTCGGATTCCGCCAGCATCCGGGGCCACACGGGCGTGCTGCCACATCTGCACTAGATGTTTTGAGTTGATGGTTTTTGCGGGGTGAAAAGGCATCTTTGGTACTTTACTTGCGCAGAAGGTACCAAAAAGCCTTAGGGCTAAGGGACCTTCATGGCCCGAGCTTGCTTTACCTGAGCTCACGAACTTAGTGCAGATTCGAACCTCCGTCCTGTTCCGGGGTCCCGGAACGCTAGCCTTGAATTCAGGCTGCAGGAACTGTCGGGTACCAACCTAGAACCCAGTCGAACCCTATCCCAACTCATCGCCAAAGTGCAAATGGCATCTGAAGCATCAAGGGTTCTAGGCAATTGCGTGCTGACCAATTGAGCGGTCGGATATCGCGACGATTTGCACAGAGCAGTTTTGGCATGGCACAGGCGTAGAGCGACTCATCATCCCCAAAAGACGTTGAAATAAGAGGGGACGTGTCGAAATAGGGGATCCCCAAATCGAGTGGTTGTTCTTTGGTTTCCTTTTAACCGGCCCCTAACAAGGGTATCCTCAAAAAACCCACCAGGCTAATGAATCTTTTAGAGCCCCCCAAAAATGGACCAGACCAAACCCAAAAGATTGAAATGTTGATTCGCTTTGGAAACCCGAGACAAGGCTCTTTGATCCATCGCTGAATGTACCACTCGTCAATCGTTTGTCACCCTAAGGGACCCCCCCATGCCCCCATGCTGTGAACGGAAAAATCCCGCTTCGCAGCATAGGGCTTCGGGGCAGGATGTTGATCCAACATCACTTGCCCAATATCCTCGCAACTGGAACCAGCCTGAAGGAAACTGATCCTCAGGGTCCGCACACGCTCCAAAGCCAAGAGGGTAGACAGTTCCTGGAAGGAAAGCAAAAGCGCCACTGTGTTCGATTCACTGCTTGTAGCGTGGTCGTTGTTTGAGGCTCGGAGCACCCCAACAAACGTTCATTGCTTGTTGCAGGATTGGCTCAGTAAACTGACTCGACCCATGCTGCCCTTCAAAATGCTGGTGATGTCTGAAGTCCCCATATGCGCCATATCCGCCGACATTGCTCGGCGTGTCGGACACCTAAGAGAGGATAGAGGATAACCCCCCCCCTAACCCCCCCCCCCACCCGACGTCTGATACGTGGGGGGGCGGGCCCCCCCCCCCCAAGGACCGCGCGGCAATTTGATGACGTTCCACTAAACGTAGTCTTCGGGGACCCGGTGTCGCAAAACAGGGGTCCCAGGCTCGATTCCCCCTGCCGGCTTTTTTGCTGGCTTGGGCTTCCTGCATCCTTTTGCCGAAAATCTGGAAAAACTCTGTGTTTTTGGACATCATCTTTGCGAAAACGCTGGAAAAACAGTGTTTTTTGCGGGAAATACTGGGGAGCAAAGGGGAAGTGCAAGGATACATACATACATACAGACATACATACAGACAGACATACAACATACATACATACATTACATTACACAACATCACATTACATTACATTACATCGCATTACATACATTACATTACATTACATTACATACATTACATTACATTACATTACATTACACATTACATTACTACATTACATTACATTACATACATACATTACATTACATACATACATACATACATACATACATACATACATACATACATACATACATACATTACATACATTACATACATACATACATACATACATACATACATACATACATACATACATACATACATACATACATTACATTACATTACATTACATTACATTACATTACATTACATTACATACATACATACATACATTACATACATACATACATACATACATACATACATACATACATACATACATACATACATACATACATTACATACATACATACATACATACATACATACATACATACATACATACATACATACATACATACATACATACATACATACATACATACATACATACATACATACATACATACATACATACATACATACATACATACATACATACATACATACATACATACATACATACATACATACATACATACATACATACATACATACATACATACATACATACATACATACATACATACATACATACATACATACATACATACATACATACATACATACATACATACATACATACATACATACATACATACATACATACATACATACATACATACATACATACATACATACATACATACATACATACATACATACATACATACATACATACATACATACATACATACATACATACATACATACATACATACATACATACATACATACATACATACATACATACATACATACATACATACATACATACATACATACATACATACATACATACATTACATACATACATACATACATACATACATACATACATACATACATACATACATACATACATACATACATACATACATACATACATACATACATACATACATACATACATACATACATACATACATACATACATACATACATACATACATACATACATACATACATACATACATACATACATACATACATACATACATACATACATACATACATACATACATACATACATACATACATACATACATACATACATACATACATACATACATACATACATACATACATACATACATACATACATACATACATACATACATACATACATACATACATACATACATACATACATACATACATACATACATACATACATACATACATACATACATACATACATACATACATACATACATACATACATACATACATACATACATACATACATACATACATACATACATACATACATACATTACATACATACATACATACATACATACATACATACATACATACATACATACATACATACATACATTACATACATTACATTACATTACATTACATTACATTACATTACATTACATTACATACATACATTACATTACATACATACATACATACATACATACATACATACATACATACATACATACATACATACATACATACATACATACATACATACATACATACATACATACATACATACATACATACATACATACATACATACATTACATTACATTACATTACATTACATTACATTACATACATACATACATACATACATACATACATACATACATACATACATACATACATACATACATACATACATACATACATACATACATACATACATACATACATACATACATACATACATTACATACATACATACATACATACATACATACATACATACATACATACATACATACATACATACATACATACATACATACATACATACATACATACATACATACATACATACATACATACATACATACATACATACATACATACATACATACATACATACATACATACATACATACATACATACATACATACATACATACATACATACATACATACATACATACATACATACATACATACATACATTACATACATACATACATACATACATACATTACATTACATTACATTACATTACATTACATTACATTACATTACATTACATTACATTACATTACATTACATTACATTACATACATACATACATACATACATACATACATACATACATACATACATACATACATACATACATACATACATTACATACATACATACATACATACATACATACATACATACATACATACATACATACATACATACATACATACATACATACATACATACATACATACATACATACATACATCCATACATCCATACATCCATACATCCATACATCCATACATCCATACATCCATACATCCATACATCCATCCATCCATACCATACCATACATACATTACATTACATTACATTACATTACATTACATTACATTACATTACATTACATTACATTACATTACATTACATTACATTACATTACATTACATTACATTACATTACATTACATTACATTACATTACATTACATTACATTACATTACATTACATACATACATACATACATACGAGAGAGGGAGATTGGGGAGAGAATGGCTTGGGGGGATGGGGAGGATGGGGAGCGGAGGGAGGGAGAGAGAACGACAGAACACACCAGGGAGACAAGGGAGAGAGGAAGAAGGAGAAAAGGGAGAGGACAATGTCGGCGGACTGAGCCGGAGGCTCTAAAGTATAGTCAGACCTCCGTATGTGGGCGATATTGAGGCTGGGGCTTACTAGGATTCAGCCTAAATTACCTGGAAATGGGCTTGTGACGTCCAAATCAGCCCCCAGGGCACCTACGTATGTTTAGTGGTCAACCAGTATTCTGTACAATGTCACAATATATCCAACACCTGAAACTAGAGATCCCCAAGGACTCTTCATGGGTGTGCTCGCCTGCCAAAACGGCCTTTCGAAAGGCTTGAAGCCAGGCCCGGCTGAAAACTGGCTTGACATGGCTCGACCTTGCGAGTATCTCGGAAGTGGAAGGCCGGTGCCGGCAAGCCGAAAGCAGCGAAATGTGTTTTGTTTGGATCAAAGAGAGCTGAGTTGACTGGCCAGAACAAGTTGGGCCTTTACACCTTTGCCCGGCCGAAGACCGATCTTTTGGTGGGTTCCCACTTACCACGAGCATCCTCTCTAAACCAGAAATCAATTAAAACAGCTGTACAGGAAACCTGCAAATCTACCAAGAAGGTAGGAAGTATGTTAGCTTGCCAGGATAGAGGAGCCAGGTTGACAGGGATGGCTGTCTTGGACATGACATCGCCATACGGCTGACATGTTGGCACGTGCAGAATCACAACAACATACGCGCCATGATCAAAACTTCACTAATCATCTGTCATGGTCCTGGCTCCTTCAACTGGATCCTCACAATGGTTGTCCAAATCCCGACTTTGGGACCCATTACCATTTTTCCGACCACATGTAGAGTGTCTTGATCAGGGCGCATGTATCCCGGACACTATTCCTTGTTCCACTTGTGGCCTCGTAGGCTTTTCTGGGAAATTCGGAGACAAACAATAGACTACTCAGCAAGTTTGTCAGACACTCATGTATATCCTTCCGAACCTGACTGGAAACCCAACAAACTTAAACGTAGAAGGAATCTCCATTTGGGCTGACGCTCTTTCTGTCGGGTTCCATAATAACTTAGGTTGCAGGAGAGGCGTTTCAGCGCCCATCCAACGGTATCGCCTTGCTTCGTGCAACAGACTTTGGACACGGCACAGGCAAATGGCAGTTGCAGCCCAAAGCATCAGCCAGGCTCACGCAAACCCGGCTGATGAGCCAAAGGTGGTCGAAACATGGGACGTCTTTTCAAATACCAACTCACCTCAGTGAATCTGCTCATTGTTTTCTACCATTCCCCAAACTGGAAATAAGGGACCCCGTATGACCACAGACCTTCATGGGTTTTCGCTCGTTCCCACCTAATCATTCCTAATCCAGAAAGACTTGCCAAGGGCGACGGAAATCCAGGCGTTCCCCTTGTTGGGCAATCAACATCTACCTCGGGCAATCAACAAGTGGTAGAGCCAAGCACCTATACAGGGAAGTGCGCCAAGGCAAAATGATTCCCAGGACCTAAACAAACATGATACGATAGTTCGAATTGGGGACCCTTCGGCGGACATCACTTAAGTAGAGGTGGTGACCTATTGAAAATCATAGCCATATAAGTGTGAGGGTTTGCCACATCTGACTAGGTAGCCTGGAAATTACGCTGGCAAAATCCCTCCTGCTGCCAGCCTCGGCAATTCATTGGCTTCTTGTAACTACCTTCCCGGCGATGGAGGAATGGCAGTTTGAAAGGTTGGTTCCACTTCTATGCTGCCAAGAAACCGCTACCCTCTTGTGAAGAATTTGCCGTAAAGACCTTCCGGGGTCACAGAGGTGTGAAGTCAATTCCTCCAGAGTGGCAAGCAACACTTAACAGAAATGGAATTCCAGGGCCCATCCCCCAATTCATGTTTGAAGGCGGGATAGATAATTTGGCCACTGGTAGGTGGTTAGGCAGTCAGGCTGAGGTGAAGGCTCCCAAAGGCTAAAGTGCAAAT